AAAAAAAAAAATAGATTCACACACTACTGCCCCCCTCAGGGAAACAGGATATGGCAAAAACTAAGTTTGCTTCTGCAAAGCTCATTTGTGCATTTCTAAACTGACAGAGACTTCCTTTGTTTGTGGATACAAAAGTGATAGTGAGGACTGCTTTGGACATGAATCCATGAGCTTGACTTCGGTTTGGACATGACGGGTTTTGAAGGGGAAGGAAGTGAAAAGGAGGAAAAAAGCCAACCAGCATCGTTTGATTGTTTGTGAGACAATGCAGGCAACATTCCACTGAAAACAACAGAGGTGACACATTCCTCCTTTTAATTCAGTCCCCTCATATGACCTTGCGGTGGTTTGAAAACACTATTCACATCCAGAAGTTTCCAGCATTTTTAGGATGCATCTTCATCGAGGCGTTTGTTTGCCTTAATTTGAAGTTTAACTGACTTTTTTTTTCAGCCTGTTCCAGTACACATATCTGTTCTGTAAAGCACTTGTCATTTGTTTCCCTTTGAGAAGAAAATCAGAAACCAATTTTATATTTTATATAGTTTGGTTTCATGTTAGTGACCCAAACTATCAACCCTGATGGAATACTGTTCTAGTACCCATCTACGCAGATGGAGACCTTGTTTTGTTACAGCCAATCAAATCTTGTGTAAATATTTTTCATTCTATCATAGCTTCAATCAAAAGGGTGCTGAAAGAACTATATCACAATGCTGATTTTAGTCTAATTCCTGCTGTGGCAGGTCTGTCCACAAGATGACAAGCAGACAACTTTAAAATGCTTGTTTTCTGAATGGAGTTAGGATCAAACATGCCACAGCCTGTGGCATACTGTCAGTGCCCATAACACACACTCTAGCAGCCTGCCAGTTACTGTCAATCAGACCAGACATTGTCGTCCCTCCAACTGGCTGAGATGAAAAGGACCATCAGATTTTTTAATTCCCTTTAAAAAAATAAAAAATAAATAAATAACTACATGTGATTTCAGCTGGACTTTAAAAGCTTTTTCTGATTCCACTAACCACTTCACATGTTTCCCATTAGGTGAGAATGTTCTTATCCTTTCTGTTTTAGCGATCAGAAAATAGTAATACATTAATCTGGGTGGGCTTCGGTGGGTATTTTATTTCTTCCTTTACTAGATCCGATCTTGATGAGGTTTCAGATTCGGTGTTTAATGGCCACTTCAAATGACATTTTTTATTTTTATGTGCACCATGCTCTTAACCTACAATCAACAACACTACCTCTGCATGCGAAAGAAATATGCTGCTTCAACTTTTATAGCAATGTTACTTTAGCTGAAGCTTCCTACTGGAAGCTTATGAGGTGTTTTATTAGGTAGGAAGGTAATGTTCTCTACCAACATGCAAAGCCCACCAGCCAGCCAGCCTCCAGCCTCAAGGGTTTAATACAATAGGATGGCATGTGTGTTACCCTTCCACACAACAGAAAACCATTATGTATAAATATGTTGCCCAAATGTGTGTTGTCTCAAACTAAGTGTTCCCTCTAGTCAGTGAGGGGTTTCATGAGCCCTTCAGCTCAAGATGAGACTTATGGGAGCAACAGATGTACATGAATCAAGGTCCTTAGCAGCTCTGCAGTCACTGCCAAGCTGCAAGATGATGAGAAAAACGGAATGTCTGCCATTTTCTACAGTTCAGGCCTGGTCATAGCCATAAGAGAGGTTTGTAATTTATGTTAATGTGCAGGAACCCCAAAGGGCAGAATATTAATTGACCTAACCTTAAAAACACTGCTTTCCATCTGGAGATTTGGGCCCACCAGAGGCCCATGAAGTTATTTTTAGGATTTATTGAATATGGAAAAAATTATTCAATTACATACATACACAGATTTGAAGGCGTCCTATCTTTTCTTTCTCTTATGGAATCATGAGTATGAGCAGTTTTCTGTATTTCCAGCTGGAACCTTGTCCAATACCACCTGTAGGGAGATTATAAGCCTTGTATATCTGCATTTTCCAGAAGTGTATCACTTTATTAATAGTAATTGGAAGTGTTATTTTTATCCTTTTCCTTCACTTGCTGTCCTTAAACTGTAAACACATCTTTGTAAAGGCGGTGACACTGTAATCTCTCCTTGCGAGGGTGGTGTGACACTATAATCTCCCCATGCTCATTGACAAGGTTAGTGAAGAGCTGACCTAGTTGTTAGAAACACTTTTCTGTAACTCAAAGCACACAGGTTCGACCCCTGCAACAACCAGCATGTTTCTTTTTTAAACAAGTAACCAAAACCTGACTATATTTATGGTGTGGTATATGGGACGGTGGACATAACACTACTATGTCAAATCAGTAAAAGTTTATCCAATTGTTAGCAAGCAGAGTGCTAACATCCTCTGACACATTTATTGAGGAGTTCCTAAATCAAGGTCATATACCCGGCTGCAGATTTTTTAAGCAGCAGATATAAAAGTATCTAGGCCACTGAATCTTAACTGGGATCAGACCATAAAATGCTTCTCTCTAACAAGCAAAACCAGGGATGCTATTGCCTAATGTACTACACCTGGGGTTGGTAAACATTTACACTGAAGATCTGGCAATGTTGTTACCTCACGTGCTGCAGAATGCAGAATATTATTATGTAATGTAGAAAAGACATGAATATTGTGGGCTCTACCGTCTGTTGTACAGTTGCACACAAAAGATTGAACAGTTTGTTTCACAAACATTTATCAGAGGCAAATCTGGAGAAAGAATTAATCCCATTGATTAAGTTAAACCTCAGTCGGCAGAGCCAAAGAAGTTTGTCTGGCCAAGTCACTTCAGGGCCTGAAGCCCAGTGGGAAAGACAAGCTCTCTCTGTTAACTGAGAAAATGCAGTCTAGCAACATTAGACTGTCTATGTTAACTAGTCTGTTTAACTTCCTAAGGCTGCACCAGCTCTCCTGGGACTACAGATGTTTAAAACATGTTTGATTTTTGGAAATAGACAAATTTGCTTTCTTGCCTTGAGTTAGATGAAAAGATTAACACAACTCTCATATCTGTACGGTACGTATGAAGCTTAGCTTGGCATGAAGACTGGGAAGGGAGGGAAACAACTATCCTGGCTCTGTCAGAAACGCCATGTAAAACCCTGTAAAACCACAAATTGTTGTTGTTGCAATTCTTTGTTTTGTATGGATTAAACACATTAGTTGGTGATGTGGTAGGCAGATTACCTTTGGACAAAATCTTCCTTTAACATTTTAGTCAACCAAGACTGCTGACCTTCAGAGGTTATGAATGCATGGTCAGGACTAAATAGAAAAAGATAACAACTCAAACATAAACAGTTTTATTTATTTGCTTAGCATATTTATTTATTTTGGTATTTGTTGGTAACCTGTATGTTGCTTTCCCCTCTTTTGTTGATATTGCCGATATGTCCAAATACATCTAGAGAACTATTGATATCAATGCAAAAATGATATAATACAATTATGGATGGGTCCTCCTCCTGCAAACTCTTGGCGCCACCACTTGCTTAAACCAAACAAGTATTTTCAGTAGGAGAGAAAGCATTTGGCACAATCTCCTGTTGTGTGCTACATGTGTGAAAGACCATCTTCATATGAGCTCTTCCTCCAGAGCAGGGCCATAAATTGTTATCGTAGAAAGTGGGTTTTGTGGACCATAAGTTTGTACTGTGAGGCAGACCTTTAGGCCTCACACTCAGGCCTCACTTTTATGCTGTCAACACCAGGCACATAGTGCCCTGTTCAAGTGCCGCCGCAGTAGGGAATAGTGGCAGTGAATAGCTTAATGTCAGCATACAAGGAAAATCTGTGTTACTTTCTTTTCTCTGTTTGTCTTTTCTATCTCTGTCTGCCTCTCTGCCTGTCTCCAAATCACCAAACACGACGTCTCACTGCGCGCCCCCGCCCCCAGCAGCAGAAATGAGGCCTACTGTCTGCCTACTTACTGACATACAGCAGTCCATTTCTTTTGTAATTGGTCCAGGCCCCCCCGACAAGCCAAGAAGCTGACAGAAACACACAGCCGGGCCAGACACTCTACATCTCCACACTTTTTTCCACAGCTGTGCAAATAAATGTAAAAGAAACTCAGGAAATTTAATCTTGCAATTGTTTTGGCTTCCAAACCAGCAGTCCAAAGGGGTCCCCCCCCCCTTCTTTTTTTATGGCCAAATCCCTGGCAGTGTTTGTGAGAATAAATGGATTTTAAGTAGGTTTGATCCTAAAAGTCCTGCAACAGCACATATTCTGGAGTGGGAGGCAATTATTTCACTGATGGTGTTTATATTTGCACTTGAGATGTTTGTGTGTGTTCATGTGGGACTTCAGATGTATTTATGAGATGTGCCATTCACTTGCATATTTAAAGGTGAAAAGTCAAAATGTCCACTGAATGTTGAACAATAGAAGTAGAGAACAGCAATTTGGAGGATTCAAACTTTGCCTTGAAACTCAAACATGTTTGGAACATGTACAGGTTTCCTACTCCAGGGTTTGAGACACGTTTCTTATTTCTTATTTGTTGTAGGAATGTCTTGCAATGTACAAGAAATAAGAAAATATGTGTTGCAATATTTGTGAAAGAAAAGCACACGTCTAATGATGCGCCGTTGTCATGCAAATACATGCAAACAGGCAGCTCCTCAGTGGGTCTGAGCAACTATTACCCAATAAATCCCCTGTCACAACATATTAGCCTGCTAGAGCCATTTGGTTAGGATGATTGCGGCTTATGTCAAGCTTGTTAGTGTTTAGCACCGTTAACCAGAGAGGGACTTGATATACGGCCGGCAGCTCTTTGTGCACCTCTCCATACCATTCCCTGGATTTACTGCGAAGGAAAGACGTGAAAGGAGTGTTGATAAAGGTTGTTGGGCTTCCTTCTTGGTTTCCAAGTGGCACTTGTGTGTTTAGACTTCAAATTCAGAGACATATTTGATTGTTTGATGTTATTTTTTTGGTCTTATTGTTTGCTTACTCACTCCTTTTGTTCTCTCTGTAGGCAGTGACAGGAAGATGCTTTGGTGACAAGGATTTCAGAGGAGGTTTGGAGAATGGGATACTGCTATGCGAGTAAGTTTGGACTACATTTCAATTTTTATCTGACTGTTATTAATTCAATTCTCCACTAGCTGTTTCTTCTGCCTTTATCCTTGTTGTTGTCAATTGCTGAATTGTCTGAGTGAAATATAGGTTCTTTCTATTTGACTCTGCTGTCAGCTTAGAATAACTATATATGATTCAGAATGAATAGGAAGAACATTAGCAGTCCAACAGGTTGTGCACTGACTTGTTACAACACTGTGGTCCAGTGATCAGAGAGACTGGTGTCCTGTTAAATTGTCCTCCAGTGCGACATTTGAACTCTCGTCTGCCCACTCATAATGAGTTGAGGTGCTGATATGAGACAGAACACACATACACACACTTGCACTTTCCCTCTTCCATATTCCTTTCTGCCAAGTTCAGTTACACAAGCCCACTGTTTACACAATCGTTATTGTGAATACAGAGATCACATCCAATTTAACAGTGCCCCCACTGGTTTTGGAATTTTTGAAATACCATGGACGATCCAGAGATATAGCAGTACTCCAGACCCTGAAAATCAGGGAATAATTCATTGTTCTAAATGTGTGATTGGCACAATTAGGGAAATCATAGTTATAATCACCAGCTTATGTCTGTATTTGATGAACTTGGAATGACAATGGGCTGTGAAGTGAAACTATGCCGGTCACAAAACTTGCAAAAAAACGATAAAGGCCCTTTCTACAGCCAGTGTTTGGTTTGTCTGTTCTGGGCTACTGTAGAAACATGGCAGACTCCGTGGGAGGTAGCCTGCACCAAAGTGGCTTGCAGATAAAAACGGCTGGTCAACTTTCAGTGTGCTTACAGTGTGTTAACAACATTTTCTGGACGTTTTAGAGACTAAAAGCGTGAATTGATAATCGAAAAAAGAATCTAAATATTATTCAATAATGGAAATAATGGTGAGTTGCAGCCCTAACCCTGAAAACACAATTGTATACCCTTGCTTACATGGGTTTCACCATACAAACTCCCTGTGGACAGTAGATTCTCAGTCAAACCACTTGGTAATACATCTATGTAAAGCTGTAACATACACCTTGGCAACAAACAGTATTCATGACATCATTTAGCTGATGCTTTCCCCTGAAGATAGACCGATTCACGATGAGTAAATGGCTGCAGACGACTCTGGGACATTGAAACAGAATATTTAGTGTTCATTGACACACTTTAACAGTTATTGTGATCAAACCTATGATCCTTGGACAGTTTCCCAAACGTTATAGTTACTAACTGAGTTACTTACTCGTGCAAGCGTTTAGTCAAGTAATGCACTTAAATGGTATCCAACCAGCAGAGGAGTGAGCAGATTGGACTTCCTGGGTTCGGCTTGTTTTGGATCTCACTAATTCCGTAAGCAAAACACCGTCCAACCTCTTCCTCTTTTTCCTGATACAAAAGGCGTCAGGAAATGTGTTTGTCCCTGTAAATACTCAACACCAAGATCACGATGACGCATTAATGTCGCTTGTACCGTGTTTGTTTTGTTTGTGTCTTTGTTTTTAAATCCAGGAAAGCACTCTCACTCTTATAGTCATTCCCATTTCCTCTTAATGCTGTAAAAAGTTTGAACTGTGACAGTCCTCAGCAGACACACATGGGCCCTGCGCTGCCTGCTCATTAATGGCAAAACATCTGATTTTATGTTTTTAACTGTGATGAAAATATTTCAATGGGATTGTTCAATTTTTTTCCCAAAAAACATTTTTATAAACAAAGTCCTCTGTGCTGATGCTCAACAATCGTACAGGGAGAAATCCATCTTAGAAGAGCTATTGAAAGAGATAAATAGTTAAGTCTTTTGTCATTCGGGAAAAAAAAGAACAAAAAGAAAGCAGACTGCAACATTTATCTCATTCCAGGCAATGTTTCAAGAGTGGAGATATTGTCTTCACTGTTGCCATTGCTCACTCTCCCCTCCTACACATATCATATTGTATGTAGCACTGAGAACACCCTTCTCTTGAGGTTGTTGAAAGTTATTCTGGGAAACAAACAGTACAGCAGGAAATCTCTAACTGAAGTTGAAATAGACGAGGCAGGCTGAGGGAAAGAGTTCACTAAAAAGGTGAATTACAGCATTTCATCGCAAAATACCTGAAGGAATGCCATCAACATCACAGGGCTGACATCTAATACTGTAAGCGTATCCAAGGGTGGGTTTTTCCTTCACAGAGCAGAATCATTATACTGCTTCCTCCGATGAAAACAACACAAAAGATGAAACTGAAGTCACACAGAACAGAACTCTGAAACTGCTTGTTCATGACTGACAAGCCATCCGAGTTTGCAGGAACAGGCTGAAACTTTACTGGGTACGTGCAATGAGAGATGACAGCACAAAGACATACCTCTTCACATAGTACTTCACTGTGAAGCGTACTGGAACTAGTTAACAGCTCCCAGCGGGTGGAAGGAAAAGCACTGATTCTGAACTCTGATTTAGGATCTACCTTGTCATAAACCTTCCAGGCGCCACTGTGGGGAACCTCCAAAATGTTTCTCTCCCCCTTTTCTGATCCCCCTACACACACACTCACAGTTTCAGACACTCTTTATCTATTTTGCCTGCAGTTATTTCACTCTGCTCGAGCTGGGTTTAAACTTACTGTGTGATGCATCATATGAAATATTCATCTAGACAAGTTTTTAAAGCATGACTCTGCTTTTTGTTTTTTGTTTTTTTAATTCAACTTTTGTCATAATGTCTTCTTCCCTGTGTGCCTTTTGTTAGGTTGCTGAGCTGTATTAAACCCGGCCTGGTGAAGAAAATTAACAGACTTCCAACACCCATAGCTGGCCTGGTGAGTCCTCTACCTTCACTCATCCTTTACACTACAAACCTTAAAGACTGTCTTCCTCTTGGATCTTTTTCTCTTTGCTATTTTTTGCTTTTCCTTCCTTGTCACATTACTTTAAGTCCCCGTCTCTTCCCCCCGTTGCTGTGTGTTTCCCACTCCAGGGATGCTTGAGGCAATCTTATTCTGTGCTGTCAAATGTTACAAACTTGAACGTGTAAAAATTTGCATAGTGGTATCACAGGGAAAGTATGGCAGCCACACGCCTTGTAACCTGAGATTATGGCTTTGATACCTGCAGCTTTCCAAATCAGAAAGATGGCCTACAGATTAGCAGCCCTGTCATATTCCAGGTGCCTATTAAAAACTACATCAAACCTCATCCTTGCAGGTGTATGTCTGATCCATTTTACAGAATTTGCCAGTTTGGCAGATTTATTTATCAGTCTTCGTCAGCGCAGTATCAATGACTATTATTGCAATATATAAGTGATTTGTATTTAAAGATGACTGCCAAGGAATGTTAAAAAAAAATTAGGCATGTTTCAAATTTCAGTTAACTTCTTTGTCTTTGTCAGTGTGGTGTAGGAAGCAAATTCTGGATACGACTGAACTGTCACCTAAGGCAATAACTACAGACAAACAGGACAATAATCATGTGATATTTTGATTTACTGGCTTGGATAGACTTTACATCATATAGCACCAGGTGTGCTATTATCAGGGTTTGATTACAGATATCTGCAGCTGAAAGATCTCCATTTCAGTCCTCACAGCCAAGGTGTCCATCAGCAGCCGTGTGTGACACAGAGCCATAATGACTCACTTATTGCACAGTAAGACAGTTGTAGTAGTACATAGATCCACTTTCCTGTCTTTCCATTGCATTTCTCTCTGAACAAAATTTGTTTGATTTACTAAAACCGTCAAAACGTTTTTTTTTTTTTTCATCTGAGCAGGAAGAAATTTATTCCATATTCCAAAACCTGAACTGAATAATGTGCATTGTTTTCTGTGGTTTTATTTCAATCATAAGTTTGCCTCCTGTTTTGAATGAGAGCCTGTGAATTTCAGTCGACCTGAACACTGATACATTTCAGTAGAGTACAGTGCAATACAGTGGAGCCCTTTCATGATGTCTTAAGACCTTGATCTGGATGAAGTGACCTTTCAGGACCAGGGCCCGACATGTAAACAGAGGCACACTGAAAGTTGATCACATTGGACTCATTCTAAATGTGCTTCCATCTCTCTTTCCTTCCTAACTTGCTCTCAGTTGCATTCCTAAATGCTGTCTTAAAGACTGTTAATGTAACACATTGGTTTATACAGAAAAAGCACACACCAGGTCACAGTGCAAAACCACAATACAAATATTAAAGAATAAGCAGCTTTAGTATTTAAAGCTGTAAACTCTGTACCTGCAAAGGTTTGATAAGTCTGTGTACCAGCACTAATTACTGAATGGTTACTTGGCCACAAACTGAGATTTATTTCCTCTAAAAATTCAGTTTTCAGCTTGTTTTTTAAAGCAGATATTTTCTTTACTCACTCTGTGAAACTGTGGCATTATTAATGATATCAACTACAGGCCACATCAGTGTGATTACAGAAATTAAACTGCACTGACAAGTTATTTGAGTTCCTTAATGAAAGTTATAGAGGTTGAATCAAGATTGCGTTCATTCATTGTTAGCGAGTTCCTATGAACAGTAATTACAGACAAAGGAGGTTATTATGGGATGGTGGTGTACAAGAGGGGTACAGGTGTCTAGGATAGAAGTTGTAGTACTTTGAGTAACAAGGTGTAAGGGGAGCTGGGTGTTATTTGAATCGCAGCGTGACGGAACAGACCAGGAAGCCTGAGTTGGGCTGAAATTGCTTTTCTTATCGCATGGCGTCACTAATGGCTGCCAATGAGCCTTCTCTGGCTTTTTACAGCCACATTCTTTACAGGCCCTTCTTTCCCCCACCATACAATCACTGCTAGAATAACAATTGATTATCCTGTTTGAGCTTTTAAACCCAGTAGCTTCTGAGCTCACTCCATTTTTACCTTAACTATGAGATCTGCACAAAGACATAAATATTTAGTTTCTGTTGCACCTTTGTTTTCTGTGCTTGGTTTTTGTGTTTTTTTTCTTCCTGTCTTTTTCTGGTTGTACTATCGTGCATTCTTCACTATAGTTACTCTAGTATACTGTTCATCTATTTGGCCTAATGGACTCTAATCTGTTCATCTGCACTGGATGACAGCCATTGCTTTTTAAAAGCTTTAATAGATTCATCAGGGCTCACTGCTACTTTTCCACCTAGCAACAATATACTGTTAAAAATACTGACCTTCACAATGGAGTGTTTAGTTGTCAGATCTTCATTTCCTTCAGATAAATCAAAACTGCCAAAATCAAATGAGAAAATTTAAAAAGTTTTTGTCAACGGCAGGTGGCCACAGTAACGCCAACACTTGTATGTACTAAAATGAAATCTATTAAACAATCCAAGTAACGAATACCACCATTTGTTGATTATTTTTTGAGGTGTTGATTCCACTTGATGGTCATTTTGTATGGTGGCTGAAATTTTTTATTTGATTTTTATCATAGTGGACAATATTTCAAAGGTTGTTTGATCTTTAAACTGGAATGTATCTCAAACAACAGGGACTGATGCATGTCGCATTATTAAAAAAACAACTGCCCTTATTGGCCCAAGGAGGGGCAGTGCAGTTACAGGACAGAAATACATTGCATGACCATTTCTAATTGGCCCAAAGGGGCGGATGATTCATCCACTGAAGACAACATGTTTACATTCATAATCCGAGGAAATATAAGGTAAAAATCACACCTGCAGGTTTTATTCCAGTACAATATGACCCTCTATAGTATGGACGTTTCATAATTCTGCCTTATAGCTTCCTGCAGGTATTTATTTTTTTCCTCTTGGCTGTGATTAAAGAGGTGAGAAACGCATAAACAAGGGGGCTGCTGTTATCTGGCCCATCATAATAAAACACAGGCTACTCCCCCTTCCTCTTCCTGTTTGGGGGCTAATGGGAAAATGAGTCTCTGAGGAGGTTTGGCTGTTTGGTAATTAGAGCAGCTACCTCAGTGCTTTGGCAGCTCGGCCTGTATGGCTCAGTGTGTTCGTCTGAACAGGTTGGTTGTTGCGTGCTATGTTCCCAGCCGTCTCTGGGTCGACTGGTATGCTCATGTTTTATAGTGTGTAAACAGACACGCAGTGGAGATCGCGCTTCAAGTTGAATGGTAGTAATTCACATGTTTAAAAAATGTGTTGTTCTCCAGACATCACGTTTAGTGCAGCCGGCATTTGTATTACTTTTCAGTGACGCACATGTAAAACACAAACAAAAAAAACAGACTGTTACGTAAAACCCTAATTCCAGCTTTGGGGATTTTCAATTTTCATAGTGGTTTTAGGGATTTTATGCTTCATTAGTATCTTGAGATAATTGAAATGCCTCGGTGCATTAAGAGCTTTTCATTTATATAAGAAGAAGATTTTACTTGAAAATAATAAAAGAACAGAAAAATAAAACAAGATGAGTGCTTACTACTATTTTTTAAATCTGAGTAAAAACACATTTGCAGAGTAATTTTTTAAATATTTATTTAAGATTTATTAAACACATTACTTAAACATTTTTAAAAAATTTTAATAAAATCTTTTACTTTTTTTTTCTTTTTCTTAATTGTTGTGACTATGACGTACTGAACAGGACATTTAGTTTACTTGTCAGGCACCTCTGTTGCCTATAGCCTGTAGCTTATATTGGCTAATATACTGGTCTAACTCAAGTGAGTATGCATATAAATGCATATTAACACAGTCATCATTTGTCTTTAGCTAAGTAATATCAGTATATTTGTGAATCTATATTTATTTATATTTATTTTTGGGAGTTATCCTGTACAGGGAGATCTCTTGTTAACAATCAAGTGGCTTGTTTCCTCATCCGGGGCTGCTTTCCTCTGGGTTCCGTCAAGGACTAAAATCAGGATGTGACCACTGATCCTCTTCCATGAGAAACCTTGTTGGTCTAATCGTGGTAATAGGATATTGATTACAATGACACAAACTGTGTACAGTACACACACACAAAATAATACTTATCATCCTATGTGCTGTGAGTAATATTGGAACTTGGAACATGTTGCTTTCATACAGTTTGTTTTTACTGCTAATTAATACATATAATATTTTGTTTACTGCTTATTCCAAATAATCATCGACTTTTAACTCTGGATATATATTTAGATTTGGTTTTAATGCCATTTTGAAGGCCCTTGGTGATTGATCTTTGTCTTCTCTATAATTATTACTTATTATTCTAATTTTGCCAATGTTGATATTTCTACACAACTTCAATTTTTTGAAGCAAAGTGGACAGGGGCTTTGAGTCCACCTCCTGCCTCCCAATCCTTCTACAAACACATTCAGCTGTCAGTCATTTCTCTGCGGTAGACGCCTAGTTTCCTGTGGCAGTGACCTGCAAAGTTATGCTCACTTCTAAAGACACACATATACACACCTCCTCGCACACACTCCAAACACCCACTAAATTATCCTGTTTGCCATTACGCAAGTTGGTACTAAATGAGCCTCTTTAATCGTCTGTTGACTTGTTGTTTATTCCATTGTTTGTTATTCCAGACCGTGTGAAATACCAACTGATGGAAAATAGGGAAAAATGTGGGAAAAGTTGCTCTGTGGTAGCTGAGATGGTTGTTAACACCATCAGATCCCCATCCAAACCCTGGTGGTAACTTTTCAAGCGCTCCCTTTTTGATGTATACTCAGAGTATCATAATCAGTAATCAGAGTGCATGATTATTGCAGACATGATTATTTATATTTTGTTTATGGACAGCGTTTGAGCAAGTTCACTGATCCACATTACAACATGTATCCAAGTTTATTTCAAGAGCTTCAAAGCAAAGTGAATAACTAATAATTCACTGTTGATGTATATGATTGCAGAGAGGTTTGCCTATGTACTCTCTGTATGTCTAACAAAAAAATCCACCCAGTCGTTAAACTTTACTACAGAATCTCATCCAATGGGGATATTTGAGTCATATTTGGATCGTTTTACTTGGAATCCTGACACAAAAAGCTTTGGGAGTCCCTGTTACAGGCTGTCCCCACCCTAAGGGTGTCCCTTGTTGTTCCCAGTGATAACACGTTTCAGATATCTGGAAAATATTCTTAACTGAAGCCCACAGTGATATTAAGCAACTGGACAGAAAGCCCGTTATTTTGATGTCTAATATGACCTTGAGCAGCAGCTGTGTGAGTGCGAGACCCAGTTAATCCCACTGTAGGTGTGTCCTCCCTGGAGTAAAACTGTCAAAAGAAGAGATTGCTGTTTCCTCTCTCAAAGAGAAGGCTTGTGTGTGTGTGTGTGTGTGTGTGTGTGTATGGGCGGGTGGGGTTGCCTCACCAGGAGAGCCGAGATGGCACTGTCCCAAAAACACAGGAAGCTGCAGGGTGGGTTTGGAGGGGGTGTTTTGCTAGAAATGGGAAAGGATGATCGTGAGAAGTGTTTCCAAGTGTGTGTGTGTTTGTGTGTGTGTGTGTGTGTGTGTTTATGTGTTTTTAGCCATACGAGTGTTCTTACAGCTAGTGTGTACATATCAATAAGTTTTATGTGTCTGAGGACTTAAAATTATATATATTTAAAACAGCATTTTGTCTAAATGTGTGCATATTGTATGTGGATTTGAGGGCTTTGTATTTTTGTTTTGGTGTATGAGAGAGAGAGAGAGAGAGGGAGAGAGAAACAGAGAGAGAGAGAGAGAGAGAGAGAGAGAGAGAGAGAGAGCTTGGGACAATCAGGGTGGAGAGGAAATGGTGACACCCTGAAAGAGAGAGAGGGGAGAGGGAAGGGCTTTCGCTGTGGTCCTCTGAAGGATAGAGAGACAGAAACAAAGAGAGAGAGAGAACCTGGGAACAGGAGAGGAGACCTCAGTTCAGGTTGCATCCAACAAAGAGTTTGTCTGAGAGCAGAGGGAAGAGGAGAGAGAGAGAGAGAGAGAGAGAGAGAGACTGCGAAGATGGGGAGAGAGTGAAAGGTTGAGAAGAAGAGAAAGAAAGAATGATCGAGGAAAAGCAGGTGAATGAGGAGAGATAAGAAAGGAAGCAGGAGACACTCGAAGGAAGCAAAAGGTGAAGAGTGAAAGTTGGAGTAATCTGAGAGAGCAGACGGACGAAAGCCGTCAACAGAACCAGGTGGTGTCACGTTTCTGTCGAACAGGTATCCTGATTTTCACTTTTGTGTGTGTGTGTGTGTGTGTGTGTGTGTGTGTGTGTGTGTGTGTGTGTGTGTATTTGCATCTTTGTATGCAGACAAAAAAAAATCCTCTTCAAATTTGTAAAATAAGTTGCTTGGACTCTTTCATGCAGTTATTCTTCTAAACCTCTCGCCAACATTTGTTTGTGTGTGTGTGTGTGTGTGTGTGTGTGTGTGTGCCTGACAGAGAGACCTTGAAAGAGCTGTTCAGATGTGTGTGTGTTTGTGTGCATGTCAGAGGGAGACAGTGCAGTAAATGAGGAGGATCTCGACCTTATCTCTAAATAAGTGTGTGTGTGTTCTTACGCTTCAGGAATGAAGACATTTTTGGACTTTTGGACAGTCCTTAGAGACCCACTGAGTACTGAAGTGTAGTACAAATGTGTATGTATAGTGTTTTAGTGGAGAGTTCACAGTGTGTACCATGCTTACTGAGTCCAACTTTACCTTTATTTCTGTGCTGCAGTGCCAGTAGTGTACTTTCTATAGTGATTTTATGATTTTAATGTGAATCAGAGAGGGAGAATGTATGTATGTGTCTGTGTGTCGTGGTTGCGTTTCAGTTAAGCTCTTGAGCAGTTAACAGACCTGACCTCACTTTGCCTTCTGTCTCTGCCAACAGCGAATTCATCTTGACAAAATTGTGTGTGTGTGTGTGTGTGTGTGTGTGTGTGTGTGTGTGTGTGTTCTGTGCAGGACAACCTCAGTGTGTTTCTGCGAGGCTGTGAGGAGTTGGGACTGAAAGGCTCCCAGCTGTTTGACCCCGGAGACCTGCAGGACACGTCGACACGCCCCACCGCCAAGTAAGGCTCAAAGCTTCAGTGTTACCTCCCAGCTCAATGGGTGTGTGTGTTTGTGTGTATTTCTTTCAGTTTTGTTCCTATGCACAATAGCCACTATGTGAAGAAGGTGAGACCTAAGGACAGGATACAATAACAGGAAGGGAATTGTTCTTTAAAAGGGTAGCATAGTAATTGCTTTATTATTTTGAGATATATAAATATTACTAAAAAGCCAGCCTGATGATTGCAGGTGGTCATTTTTCATACATGTACAATATTAAATATAAATATTACCATTTGATTTATTTTACCAGTTAGCTTGAAGCTAATTTTCACCTGCAGTCCCCTAGGTCTTAATTAAAACCTATGCACAGTGACAAACAGTACACAAAATGAGTAATAAGTTACAATTAGAAGTTACACACGGCAGTACATCTCAGACACCCAAACTGACAAATTAAAAGCAAGGCTCACGTTTGGATTGTGTCTAAATATAAAGTTATCAAATCAAAACTAAACGAATCCTACCACTGTTACCTGTGTGCATACGGTCCAGTATAGCCTGTGCTGTCTTTCAGTTGTCAGCTCCCTGTGTTGGGGTGAAGCTGGGTGAAAAAAGCTTTCAATACACTAACCTTTCCACAGACAACACTATAGAGAAAGCTGTTTGTTAATTACTGTTGCTGAATTGCAGTAAAGGTCGTAGAGATTAGTACTTCAAGGCAATATTTCTGTTTCTGATTGATGATCCTTATGTATTTTCGGACTAATTTCTCTCTATAGACTTTTGTGCTGCATGTGACAGTGTTATAGGCTTTATTCTTGTTTGTATCATCTTTATAGTCACAGCAGTGTTTTATATTGCCTTGTTGTCCGCGCCTCTCTTCAAACAGCAGACGTTTTGTGCGTGATCTAAAGTAGACTATAAATTATTATATAATAAATAAAGGTCGTAGGTCTTTGTGCTGTACAAAAAAAAAGGATGCTATTCTTTAAAAGAGAAAAGGATGTAAAGCTGCTAGAGTTGCTGTTAATAGTAGATGGAAGAATCCTCTTTAAGTAAAACATTTAAATAATGAGGCACAGTGGATAAGAAGCAGCAACTTTGATGTAGTGTGGTGGATAGAACAGTTGATTTAACAATAAGAGCAAACGGCGATGAAGGCCTGATTTTTGGTTGGGGAAATGTTTATGACAACCATTTTACTGAGCAGAAGCTGGATCTGACAATCCCATCTCGGGGCCCCATCCCATCTCTCCCATCTTTCAATCATATCGCACGATCTTCATCAGTAGATGAAGTTTTCCCAGTAGTAAAATATCTGTTTTTCCCGAGCTCTTTAAAAAGTTGAGGCTCAAAGTTCAGGCTTGACCTTGGAAACAACAGTTTACAAAACAATCTCACCTCAAGGGCCATTTAGTAGCTGTCCTGGAGCTTTTGTGCATCTTTTAGAAATTTTAATAATGATGGAAAGGTTGTGTTTTATTAAGTGGACGGGCCGAGTGTTAATGATGAATGCCTCAATTGTGCATTAATAGACAGCTGTCTGAATCACTTCTTTACCTCTATGAGTGCCACTCTCTGTCAGTCACCCCGTCTGTCGTTCTCTGCATCAGACAATCGCCCAGTTCACTGCCAACATAAATAACCAACTGACAGTCAATGGAAGTTTGTAGAGCCTGTGTCAGTGAAGCAACAATAACATATCTGTTAGACACAACTGGTCTCTGTCCAAATACAAGAGTTTGCATCACTCATTGAACCATGACTCCTACTTTGTTGCTTGGTAACAAAGCCAAGTGCAGTCAGTTTTTTTTATATAAATATATTGTATGGCGTTTGTGTGTGTGTGTGTGTGTGTGTGGCATGTACTGTCCTCATGCTGGCTGTGCAGTTGGGGGGGGCAGTGCTAATCTTAGCTGGTCTCTGGAGGAGCTGCTTGACTGGTTCTGTCAAGACAAGGAATTTTTTGAAAGCACTATGGTGTTGTGTGTGTGTGTGTGTGTGTGTGTGTGTGTGTGTGTGTGTGTGTGTGTGTGTGTGTGTGCATGTATGCTGGTGTACACAATGTGTACTGTAAATAGCCTTTGTTTCCGCTCTAAACGTCACTCTGTTAGTGTATTAGATCCAGTTTAAACAGGGACACTGGTGTCATTTTCATTAATAGTCCATTTACTGCTGTCTGTACCTCATGAACAGTCATATCATATTCAGCAATAATGTAAGGTTATGTTTTATTCCTTTGTACAAATATTTTGAAGGTAATCATAGATTGGCATTAACTGATAACACTAAGGAGATGCTCTAAATAAGACAAAGATGTGACATTTAAGTTTGTGAAGTGATTTTTTTTTTCCTAGTGGGTGTCAGACATAAACTGAAGTAACAATATTGTGTGTGTGTGTGTGTGTGTGTGTGTGTGTGTGTGTGTGTGTGTGTGTGTGTGTGTGTGTGTTAAGGCTGTGTGTGTCACTTTTTCAAACAATCAAGTTGAAATGAGTTTGAACTTGTATAATTTGTTAAAATTATATTAATTATTCATTTGAATGTAACTCACATATCCTATTCTAAAATACACTTTTTGCAGTCATACAGGAATTTACTCCCCATTCTTTTCTAAGGGACGACCATTTGTGCAGAGTTCAGTCAGTCTGACAATGACTCAGGATTGACCTCTCATTCAAGAAATGTGATTGTTTATATTCTTGTTTATAGATCTACATGGCAAAATAATACAAGCAGCAGAGAAGTAGTGAGTGCAAAGACACTCCCACAGTTTGTTTTTTTCCTGTCCCAACTGCTTTTTGATTCAGCATGAGAAAATGTTGCCATGTGAAATTCTCTCTGACTGTATTTTGTTCATTTGCGGTGCCTCCACTGCCTCCCCTGAGTGAAGAGCTACATAAAAAGCGAGTCAGCAAACAGATGGACAGTGGGTCTTAGGAACACCCCACGCTTGAGTGAAAGGCACAGTCTATTGAATTTATAGTATATGTTCTATATATTGTTGAATAGAATTTTTTATATGAACAGACGATAATATATTATAATATTTTTCTCGCAATCAAACAGTAGTTGGAATTGTGTAATTTGAAAATGCTCATTACAAACTGATTATGCAATGAGAATAACAAAGGAACCAAATCAATGCTTCATCAATATAGTTAGCACAGACTGAAAAGGAAACTTTGGTGTCATTGTTTGAGTGGTCCTGCTTTATTTATGTAACCCTCTGTCATACAGGATGCAATTTCCTTGCAGCTTGTGCCCATGATAGGAAGCAGTTTCGGTGCTTCTTCCCCCCTTGAGTCTCTAGACAGGTGTTTACTCATCTAGGAAACGGCTTCGGACAGGAAGGCGTAAAGACCGGCAGGTTTGGGTACACGATGAGCTCAGGCCTGAAATATCTCCCATTCCTCTGCGTGTTGAGGGAAACAGATCGATTTCCAAGATAAGTGACAGTTTGCCAGGCAGAGTCAGTGAGGGGACAGGAGAGAGAAGCTGCGTTTCCACTCAGCTGTCTAGCAAATTGTTATGCAAAGTTTTGGAATGCTGAAAAATGTGAAATACAAATTAAATGTGTTTCCCTCAGTTGGGTTAAATAAAATGGAAGAAATTCAAGGGTAAGGCTTAGGTACTCCTTCCACATTTCATTAAATACTCTTGACTTGCAGAAAGTATACTGGGAATTATTTCATGCTTTCATTAAAATAAAAAACACATTGTAATAAAAGTTATACAATTTTAACACAAAAATGGAGACTGGTTGGTACATTTCTGGGAGGTTTTCATTTACATTTGAGGACTTCCACAGCCAGGTTGTGCCAACCCTGCATACTTTTTTATTCAGCAACTGCATTTCCAATGTGCACTTGACATTTGCCCTAAGCTTTTCTAATCTTGATTTACAAGCATGAAATTGTAGGTAAAATACTATAAAACCTGGGAGAAAAACATAAAAAACATAACATAAAAGTTAATCATTCCATTTTTCATATTTTGTAAAAGTGTTATCACACAAAGAAAGTAATTATTGCAAACTTCAAAAATGTCCTTATATATAAAAGGAGCTACAATCTGTATAGCATTAAACACCCTCTATCCTTAGACACTTATTTGGATAAGGGAAAAGAAAAGGGTAGAATATGCCCATATATATGACAGTATGATCTAATACCTTGTGGAATCTGTTGTTCTTGTCCTTCAAGTTTGCTTCTACAAGGTTACGGCAGAGAAAGCAACCTGTCTCTGTGTTTATTTAGCCAGCTGACAGAAAGAGAGGATGATGAGGAGGAAGGAGGAGGGGGAAGGTTTACAGATCATTCCCTCCAGCTACTTTCTTCTCTTCTTCTCCTCTTTCACTCCTCTCATTGTCAGGTCACTGCTGTCATGGAAAACTCACGCAACTGCAATTTGGGTGTCACTCGTGTGTTGAGTGAGTTGGGCTTTGTGACCCTCAGGCTTTGGAAACTAGTTATAAAGAGTCTTATAATGTATACTGTCTATTAAGAAATAAATATTGGGCATAAGCAAAATGCTCAATATTTTCTATGAATGAGACCCTCACATTTATCAGATGTTGTTGTGGCATGCAACTCGAACATTAAACAACTCTTAAACTCCATATTGGGCAATACATTTCCCATACAAGATGATGCACTACATCATTCTTATAAGCAGATTTGTATCCAAACAAGTCTTCGTGTTTCTCCAGTAGATATAGCTACAGAGCAGTGTGTGTATATTGAAGGTATAGTAAGTAACCTATTGCACTGGAATTATGCTTTCACTGGAAGATGAGTTGCTGCAAACCTACGCTGTTATGAGTAACCATATGTCACAGAGGACCTGATGCACACAGCTCCCAAATCAACACCTTGTGGTTGATTCAGCTCTGTTGGGAGGCATGCTACTTAAAAGTTTAACAGCTGCACAAAGATCCCTAAGCTACACCTATATATGCTCGCCTACTTGCACCCCATGCGAGCATCGTTCCAGCTCTATTCATATTCATCTCTTGACCCTGTTGTCTATTTCAGGTGCTGTTTTTCACAGTATTTCATACTCATACAAGGTAACCTGTTTTCCATATAAAGGTTATTTTCCATTTATGGGAACCTCCATTGCATCCATGTAAAGCAATCATTTACCCATACATGTGTTTTACATAGACAACAACTCCGTGTAAAGTGAACTTAATATCCATACAAAAAGATTTGTTATTGTTCTTGATCATGATGAAATAAGGCTTATAATGATAGAAAATGAGGGAAACATATTCAAACCATCATGTTTTCCTTCTGGCAACTCCTGCAAAACACAGCAGCCAGTCACCTCACAACTAGCACCAGAGAGAGAAACCACATCCCTCCCATACTGGCTTCTCTGGGCTGGTTCCATTTAAAACCTGTGTAAATTTTGAATTATTTGCTCTCCTGTAAGGCTGGCTTTTGGGCTAGCACTTGGTTATATTGCAGAGAATTTAACCCAATGAGCCCGACTACAGATTTAGAGCTTTTTTGGTCACAATCCAAGCTGATGGACCAGGCTTCTCCATTAGGGTGCTTTGACTTTGGCAGGAAGACTTTGGCATCCGTCTTGCCTTCAACTCTGTCTTAGGAACACTTTAAGAAGTTCAACTTTTCTTTTGTTTTTGGAAATGTTGCTTTATTATTAGCATTTTAAACACAGTGTGTATTTAACGTTGTTTTGTGAGTTACTTTGTGTATAATATGTATGTATTTTCATATTTAAAGAGAGACACATTACTTTACTTTAAAAGGTATATGTCTGTTGTGTGATTTTTGACCTTTCCTCAGCCTGCACAGATCTTTAGTGCTTAACGGTCACAGAGAAAAAGAGAGTTTGTCGAGTTAAAGGTAGAAGAGAAATCCAGGTTTCATACGATGTTGTACTTCTTTGTATGTATGTCTGTATTTTAGTCTGTCTGTCTCTCTCTCTCTCTCTTAGCCTAGAAGTATATATTTCCACAACACAAGTGTGTATTGGGGTCAGTTTTACAACCAGTTCATTCCACTTCCCATTTATAGCTTCAAGTGGTGATCCGCAAGATCCACATCTTTTCATTTTGGCAACATCTGTGGCGCTAAGTGGCCACTGCTGTGGTGTTTCTGCACTGCACCTCCCAGAGATCACTTGGCAGTCAAACCATGTGGCCACCACTGTGACATCTGCCTCCTCTGACTTCTGACTTTCTGTTAAAGAAAGTCTTTGTGAATGATGGGGGCTGGTGCAAAATGGCAGATCTAGAAAGGGGCCCTTGCTGTTTGGTCCAGAGGAGCTCACACAAATATTCCATGATGTAGTTTATATTTTAGATAGATGAAGCCAGATGCAGCCACTGAACACAACTGCTGGAAATATTGAATAAATACATTACCAAACTACAAACTGGATCCAGAGATCCAAATGTAGGAAGTCTGCTAGTTCTCCCTGCGTGGGCTACAGCCACTGCAGATTCCTCTATGTATTCAATAAGTTTTGTTTTTGCCGCATGGAAATGTGGGAGTTGGTTGCTTTAAAAGGTGTCTGCTGTTATTTTATGTGAGATATTTCATTAAATAACACCAGAAGTCAGTGTGTCACTGTCTCTCCCTCTCTTTCTCATCCTCCCAGGGGAAGTGACTGCAGCCGAAAGCTCAAGAATGTAAGTGAAACTTCTGGATTACGGTGGGGATAATTTGTTTGTGTGCTAAATGTATGTTTGGATGGAAACTGTTATTATGTCCCAGTGTTTCTGTTTGTGCTGTGGTTGTCACTCTTTTCCTTCAGCTGCTCTCGTCATCTACCACCAGTTATCTTCACTCTAGAGTCAGCTTATTTAACTAGAAGAATACTACCTACTAAAAATATATATTCTATATAGGCTGCCTTTACTGTGTGAAGATATTGTAGCTTTACCTTATTTTATGTAGTCTTCTTTATCAAATATTTTAATGTTATCTACTCTACCTGCTTTTGTTCCATCTGTTTGTGGAGATATGTCTATCTTTTAGCTCTACATAGCTCAAACTCAGTTTGATCTTTGTATTCCACTTGTGTATTCTCTTCTGTCTCTATTTATCTGTCTAGCTGTTCTTTTTACTCTACTTGGCTCTTCTTGCATTGTCAGTTATACAGAGACTCCATCTACAGTACCTTGCCCTGCTCTTTATAGTTTTATTCAGTATTGTTGTGCTTTACCCAGTAGTTAAATATCAATACACCTGTCTGTTTTACCTGCTCTATCTTCTTTTTCTGCATATTCTAGATTCTAGTCTAGTTCTTCCTATTATGCATATTTTAGTTAGGTGTATTTGTTGTTCTGTCTCCCTTCTAATAATCTATTTTTACAGTCATAGTGTCTACTTTTGTTCAAATATACCTCAACACCCTCTTATCTTTGTGTAATAATGCTTCTTTAAAAAGTAGAACACATAATGCTAGCCCTGCCCACTCTGCAGTCAAAGCACTATCTCTCTCTCTCTCTCTCTCTCTCTCTCTCTCTCTCTCTCTCTCTCTCTCTCTCCCTCCCTCTCTCTGATGCTGCCGTGCACTGTACAAGTTAATGTGTCGAGCTGCAGAGCCAGCCTGGGCTGCTAGCTCATTTAGCTGACTACACACAAGGACTCTCAGCCCCATTAGCCAGTGTTTGCAGCAATAGCAAACGGCCCACAAAGTCCCAGCAGCCAGCACTTTAGCCAGGACCTGCTACTAAGGTATGCTACCGCACTATGGATCTGCCCTGCAGACTCAGGCTGAGGACTAGGATTTGATGGCAGCAGTCTCTGCAGCACATCACATTTGGAGAAATGAAGGAACTACACTGAGAAGAATTTGCTGATCTGGCGATAAAGGTGTTGTTTAGCAAACAGATTGGATGTTGAAGTAAAAAGAGGGTGCAGCATGGATGGATAGAATATTGCTGGAGCCTTGGGATGATCGTTTAGCAAGTGCAGGTGTGAACAAGAAGGGCTGATTGTGCATGTGTGTATTGTGATGACTAGTATAAGGAATCTGTATCTATGTGTACTACTACAGGTCTGTGGATTGTCACATGTCCTGTGCAATGTGTGCACGCTTGGGCTTGTGTGTATGTGTTTACACTGCAGGTGCATTTTTGGGGTGGTTTATTCCGGCTCTTGTGTATGCATCACTTAAGTGTGCGTGCACATGAAACAAAGAGATGACGTTTTTCGGTGGAACCTCTTCGACAGGTCTTTCCACATCTGCCAGATCAAACAGCTGCTGCAACTGAAGAGGAAGAGCAGGGTGACCCTATGCATCAAATCACTGGCGGTCCTTTTGTTTATTATTTCTGCCAGTCAAAAACTCTACAGGCATGTTTTATTTAAACTACTGTAGCTTGGTGCTCGTGTCCAAGTTTCAGTTTTTGTACAGTTGTTTGTTGTAGGTTTAGGGTTGCATGTCTAAATCATATTGGGCACAGTTGTGGCACAGTTTCCCATTGCGTTTTGCAGTTTAGATCAATATTGATGCGTTTAAAGCATACTAGTAAGCAAGTGAAACACATTTGGTGCTGACCCACTTCCAATTGGAGCTGGCACGGATGTTGTCATTATACTGGTGGCACAGAAGCAATACACTCTGCTGTTCACAGTGCTATAGTGTGCAGATAGTGAAGCATAAGCACAGCAGGTGCATTGTTGCTATAGCCCAATATATTAGTGATGTCCTGTGCAGGAGCAAAATTAAACTTGACAAATGCCAAAACTGCAAATCTATCTGCAGCAGTTTTGATCTACATTTGACAAGAGCTGTGGTTTGATCCTAGGTTATCTGGTATCCACCTTTGTAAAGGGTCTTTGAGCAAAACGTTAAATCTCTCCCTGCTGTAGAGTTGCAGTTAGTAAGACTTTGGCCTAAAAGATGAATTTCCCTTCAGGAATCAACACAGTATCACACAGAAAAGACTTGCTTCTTCTGATCAGCACGACAGTTTCTTTGCTCTTCCTCCAAGTGTGTTTGAACGGCAGACAGTGTTTACACTGACAGTATGACTGAAATAAACACATTAAGCCATGCTGAGCTTTCTTATCAAAGCAATCCCCGTGGAGTGCCGGTTGACATGGACACAGTAAATATAGCTGGGAACACTTGGCTAACAGTGCTAAAGGTGCAGCTCTGTGTGAGCTCCCTGTGGCTACAGCCAATCTGTGCATTCTGCATTTTAGGCATTTAGCTGACTCCAAAGGGAGTCACATTAAATGCAGTAAGCCTTACTTCCTCAGTCACATTCAGCATTACTTCAGGGCATCGGGTTACAAGCAAGAGTGAGAAGTATGGCCTTCTTCGCATACTGATTCTACAGGGTTACTGTGTTGGAAGGGGATGAGATTGATCTGGGAATGTATGCACTTACGCTAAGCTACCAATCAGGAAAATATAAATCACTGTAGCCCCGGAAGGGATGCTGTGTTTTCCAAAAGTGCCTGTGACTGGTTTCAGGTTAAGAACAATGGCTCATTCTTGTCGTGTTTGTGCAGTATGCATTAGCTAGCATGTAACTTTTTTGAAAGGGGCTGGATTGTAATGACCAGAAATCCAGCTTGTGTTGCTTTGTAGGAAGAAAAGTGGAAGGAACACAGAGGAGAATGGTTTCAAGTGTTTGCTTTAGTGCATTTTTACCTTCCGTCAATACAACTGGGATCTAACTAAATATTATTTGTAGACATTTTACCTGTTTGGGAAGGTTTCATTTGTTGGCCTGCATTGCCACATACTGTCTACTTATATTGCAGTTTTTTACAATACCCTAATGTTATGCAATTGTGCTCATTTTGTGGCAATAATTGGTTTGGACGAGCCGACTCAGGCTTCAAACAAATTGGCTGAGTGTACCTTGAATGACATGTTTTGTCTTGACAGTCTAATGGACAGTATGTCTGGATCCAAGGTATCATTATGAAGATTTTTGACTGCAGGGAGGAACTTTAATTTAAGATTGCACTCAGGAACACTGGATGACCTGTGTTCCTATTGTTTTAAATAATCATAAACAGTTCTATCTCTCTTTGTGTTTCAAATGAACAAAATTTAATCTGAAGTCTTAAACGGATTATTACTTTGTATAGTTTTTTTTTTGTTGATTATTATTTTAAATCACTCTGGAAAACTGTACCTTTGTTTTTAAAATACACAAATATTTAGCAGCAAGCTGTCTACAGTTGTGTTCCATGCTTTTCTTTAGCTTTAGCTGATGTTTTCTTCATCTCATTGATGATGATGTCTGACAGTATTTTATTCTTTCCTTTTAGGTTCTAATCACCATTTACTGGTTGGGTCGTGCTGCCAACGGCTGTACCTCCTACAACGGGCCCACGCTGGACCTGAAAGAGTTTGAGGCCCTGCTGTCACAGATGCGAAAGGTTTGTGCATGTTTAGTAGTGTCCAGAGCAGTAGTTGTTTCTACAGTTTTATTACAAATCTCCTAGCAACAACAGCTGGTAAAGTATAGTATTAGGGGCAGAGAGAGGCTAACCGCTTTCTTTAAGCAGAAAATCACAGATTTGATCCCTGCAGTAACCAAATGTCCTGAAAAAACAAATGATACTGTACCACTTATTGTTGGATGCACTAAATAAGTGTGTTTGTTAAATGTACACAGACCTCTCAGAAATCATCTCCAGCAGCGTATAACAATGTCCAGAGATGAACTGTTAAATAGGGCACTTGTGTCAATCATCTCAACCTGATTCCATCCCTGCAATCAGTTTTTACTGACCCAAAGGGACAGAGAAAAGTTAGCATTAGCCCCAACACACACACACACACGCACACACACACGCGCACACACACACACACACACACACACACACACACACACACACACACACACACACACACACACACACACACACACACGACAACCACTCATAACCATGATGTCACCCCCATGCGATTTATTCCACAATGTGACGTCCCTTTGCTCTTCAATAAAACTGAGAAATCACTGCCAACTCAGAAGAATAAGGTTCCCAGATGTTCACACGTTGCAGCTGACCAAAACAAGGCCACGTTTCTTGAAACAAAAATGAAATTTGAAAATCAAGGAAAATGCATCAGGTGCACCCGTTCAGGATTAAGCTGGCACTTCCCACTTCACTTGTAATGCTAATAAAAATGAAAGCTGGACCTTTAAAAAAATGATGATTGAAATGCAAGAAGCAGGTGAATAAGTGGCCCGGCTGCAGTTGTATCCGCTAACCTATTGTAAGTAGCTCAGGATAAGTCATATCAGTTAAAGGGTCTGTTCACTCAAATTAGGAAAAAATATATACCACCTCATTTACCACTGATGGTATCTAGCTATCAGATAGTTTTGGTTTTATTTCACCACGTTTTGTGATTTCATTCTCTTAGATGTCTAAAATCCTGGACAGATAAAGGCAAAACTATTTTCTTTTTGTGTAATACGAGAGAACAAACCCTATAAACATTTAGGTTTAGGCAACAAGAGCAGTTTGGCTAAGTTTGATATGAGTTGGGATATGGCAGTGGTAAAATGAAAACTAATCTGTACAATGCCATTGCTTCACCAAAGAAAGTGTATAATTGTATGTTAAACGAAGAGATAAGTGAGAGAGAAAGTCTGTGGCAGTACAACCTAGCTGAAAACATAATATAGAGTTTGTCAGGGGTTTGGGAGTTGTGTAACAGACAGTCCGGGGGTCAGGAAAAGGAAGTCTTTTGGTAGACAGGAAAGGCCTTTCCCCACCTTCCATTAGCTGCACAGACATGTTTCAACTGTAGACAGACAAAGGGAGAGGTCACTGAGGTGAAGAGAGAGTGATTGAGTAGGATCTAGCAGAAGAAGATGAAAAGCAGAGAAAGAGAAAAAGCAAGAAGGTTAGAGAAAGTTGATCTAGGGCTTACAGTAAGATGTTTGTAGAGGACAGGAGGTAAACACATTCTTCAGATATGGTTTGGTGATGACATTCTGTTAAGTTGTCAGATGAATATAAGGAAACACAACGCAAGTTTACTGGATCTATTTTGCCCAAAATGTTCTGTATTTTTCCTTTTGTGACCACACATTTAAGTTCTGCATTTGATTTAAACGTATGTGTTTATACATGTTCAGGAGGCAGAGGAGGCAGAGAGCCCTAAACGCAGCATCCGGGACAGTGGCTACATCGACTGCTGGGACTCTGAGCGCAGTGACTCTCTCTCCCCGCCACGGCACGGCCGCGAGGACTCGTTCGACAGCCTGGACTCCTTCGGCTCACGCTCACGACAGACCCCGTCGCCAGACGTCCTGGTTGCCCGTGGCAGCAGCGATGGTAGGAAATAGTCTACTCTTTACACGCTTTACACTTTTCATATTCACATATGAACACTACCAACACTAATTTGAATTGATTGGGGAACTTGCGGATAGAATAACGACCCTTCAAATTAAAGGTTTCAGGTTAAATCTATTCTCTAGCCATTGTGTCATATTAGCCAAAGCCATGTGTCTTGTGGAAGGGAAGTAATTCAGTACTGGCTGTTTTGTTGGGGTCAATTGTGGTGTACAGATATAGTATATAGATAAATGAGGTGCATTGTCCTTCTACTGCTACTGTAGTAAAGTCTGTTCTTTCACAGGACAACGCCCAGTGCTAGTTAAAGGCCATTTGAAAGCAGTGAATGATCTCAGCGCGATGCTTGTTTTGAAGTCAGGCTATGGCCATTGTTTCACAGCTATATGTCTTGCTAAAGGGAAGAAATCCAGTACAGGCGTTGCTGTTTTTGTTCTGGTCAAATATAGCACATAGACACAGTGTACTGTAGACTGTAAATGAGTTAGTTTGTGCTTCTGATGCCGCTGTAGTAAAGCCTGGTGCTCTGCAGTGCCTGTGTATGTTCCAAACTGCTCAGCATTTATTCTAAAAAAGTTCTCTGCAGTTGAATTTTTAAAATATTATTGTTTTATTATTCCAGGAAAAAAAGGCAGACTTGTGGTGTGCATGAAAAGCTGCTCTTGTACATCCTTTGTGTTTCTGTATCAGTCCTCGGATCACTCCATGTCTGACTCTGGTGTTACTAAAAACATGCACGAGCCTAGCTACAATAACAAATGCTGTCACATCTGTTTTTGTTTCAAACCGTTTCAGTTTGGTAGCGTCAACACAGGCTCCAGCAACATGACATGACAGTTGTGTGAGGTGAAGTGAAACATAAGGCATTAGATTTATTTGTCCTCATGGAAGCACTGAAAATTCTGATTCAGTTGAGTGTCGGGAAGGCTGAAAAAAAAAGCACATTCATGTAGTAATTTGCTGATTACACATCCGATCTGTGAGATACTCTGTTTAAGAGTTATCAGATAAATGTTTAAAATGGTAGTAGAAATGTTGGTAGTTTTGATAAGTCATACTAATATTAAAATGTTTTTTGAGTTTGTGGAGCCAAGTTCCCAGTACACGTCCTCTTTTTCCTCTATTAATTCAATTGACTGCAAAAAACGGCAACATATTAAAAAGTCAATATTTCATATTTAAAATATAACTTTTCCTTTTTCTTAAGATAAACAACAAAGGAAAATACACAAATTCTTTTCCACCTGTTTCTGTTATCATATTTGTAATTTCTCCATGTTGCAGTCATTTTGTCATGTTTATGCACAGTTTGCATGTAAATGAATGGGTGCCTCAGCCATTGTGCTTATCCAGTCCTGCAGCCTCATAGTGTTTGTGAGGATTTGCAGCTCTGCCATTGACATCCACACAAAAGTGGCTTTGTGCTGAGTGTTTGAGCCTGTTGCCCCCTGGCTAAAGTTGTTTGATAACTCTCTACAAGTGTGGAATGAGCTTAGTGACAGCACTAGCGAGAGATGAAGAGATTAGGCATCTTGTTGAATGATAACAAAGAAGAAAAAGAGGTGTGATTGTTTGAATTATGGCTTTTAGTGGTTTTTGATCTGACACACTGATCTGTCAGCAATAACAAAACTTTCAGTTTTAGAACAAAGGACACAATTCAATGATACATGCTCACCTTCAGAATAATGAAGGTATTATAGTTAATACCTGGTAGATTAAGTCATCTTATGAAATGTACAAAATGTGAGTTCTTGAGCACATTTTTAGATGTCAAGTACTATGCAAGAAAATTAATGTATGATAGATTTTACCTCCTTTTTTCCACTATTTCATGAGTCTATTTTGAATGTCAGTCGTCATGGAAACAGCCTTGTGCTCTGTACACCTGACAGGTGCTGTTAATTCTCCCAGCCTGCTTCTTTCCATAAAAGTTGTATGAGGTACAGTTGGGTTCCTCCAAGTTCTCAGTGTAATTTTAGGTGGATGTATCTCCTTTATGATTCAATCCATCAATCAATACACTCTACTGGTGTTTACACACACACACACACACACACACACACACACACACACACACACACACACACAGCTACACTGGTTGTTAGTAACAGTAAAGATTCACAGATACTAAAATTAACAGAAAAGACAGAATATAAAAAGATCTGACTTATTTATGTAGTAATTTTTATATGTTGCTTTGTGTGTTTATATATAAGTTTCTGTTTAGATAACCGTATATTAGCATGTGTAATTTAATACATCCAACATTGTAGCGTAACAGTTTTACATAATACGTTTTTCAAGACAAACATAGACTGCAAACAACTGTAAATTTGTTTTATGAAGTAAAAAAAAATAGTTTGGCTGCATATGAGTACTTTATAATGCCAAGCCAACCATATGCTGTCATTGAAAGCTGTTGTTTGCTGCCTTTTATTTGAATCTGACCCTTTTAAATTTTAATGACAGCCTATAAAAGGTTACAGTCGTCACAAAGCTTAATGTACGTTTCATCAACTTCATGTGACATAACACAAAGTGGGACCAAGCATCCTGTCTGACTGTGTTTTTGTTGGAGGGGAGTGTTAAGGAAACTGCTGTTTGCAAATCTTAAGCTGCTGTCAACAACAGTCAACCTAACCAACCACCACGCTGGATGTTGATGCCTTTCGGAAATAAATAGCAAGTATTAAAAACAAAGCAACAAACTTTGGTATTTGATGCGGTCAAAGTTTTTTGATTAGTCACATCATCAAGCTGCTCGTATTCCCATATGTTCTGACATTTCGAAAAACAACAGAATTGCTAACTGATTAGTCTGACTGGTTTTAATATTTGTGCTGTCAGAAGTACTTTGTGATTTAGTGATGATAGGGTGATAAAAAGGTTAGTGAGTCAAGACCAAGACCTACATATTTGTTCCAACATTTCATACAACTGTACATGTGTAATAATATTTGTAAGCTCTTCCTATTATTGACTGTATCGTACCATCAGTGTTTAGATCAGACCCAGGAGCCACAAACTAGAGAAGTGAACACAGAATAACAATGCTGTTATCACCTAATCACAGGGAGCTTTGAGTACACCCAGAACAAGAACATCCATTTATTAGCATGCACAGAAACTTGACTCAGCCAGGTTTTCCCTGCCCTGACCTTTAGACAAAGCTCTTTCACTATTCAGCTCTGTAGACCAACTGACAGTAATTATAGGACAGGGAGAAGAGTTTAATTCAATCTCTGAGAGAGATTAAATGTTGGCGATGTGCTTTTGTTTAGGTGAAGTTTGGTAGATGGATACAGTGTTGATATATGAGATTGGGGGAGGGTTATCCCATCTGTAAAATGTTTTCATACCACTGCTATCACATCACATGCCTTCATGCCCAGCTCCAAGTTGCGGCTCATCACCTGATATGTTTAGATCAATATGAATTGAAAATAAGGTTGAAAATGTGCAAGCTGGGGCACCCTGGTAGCTCACCTGGTAGAGCTGGCATCCCATGTACCAAGGCACCTTGTTGCAAGATAGATAATAATGAACACAGTTAAGTTGTGTTCCTTGACGTTTGAACTGAATTGAAGAGAGAGGTCATCTGTTGGGCTTTCTTTCAGTTGCCTTGTTGTCTTTTCTGTGCTACTATTGCCTCAGCCAAGTTGCTGTGTGTGTTTACATAGGTTGGGATTTGATAGCATTTTATTAAATAGACTCTGTGTATAGAATCTGAATCCTTTCAAATCCCTTGTTGAATCTAGTTAGGTTTGGCTTTCAACATTTGCAAGTAATCAAGTTATAAATAACTAAACTAAAAGGTCTGCATTTTACTGTCAGCTGAGAAGGCAGTTGTTTTTAGTTGTGGTCTAATTAAAGTTCACAGCCTGTAGCTGCAACCAGAAAATGAGATGAGATGATGCCTACTTACTTTTACATTCTATTTCTCACAATCTACTTACTCCAAATACTGGAGGTCTGGAGTTTAGCACTGTTAAATTGATCAGCTTGAAATGTTCACAGTGACGTGACACATCAGCTCAATGATTTCTCTAAAGCGGAATAGGTACTCTGTCTTGTCGAAGTGGTGTATGTATAGTGACAGTAATGTTTCTTTACCCTCACAATCAATCTTTGGCGCAGTACAGACAGCTTGCAGAGAGCACATTGACAGCCAAAAGCTTCATGTTAGCTGTTTCAGAATTAACAGTAATTACCTACAGCTGCTACAATCTGTCACCAGTGATGTTTGTCATTATAACTTGAAAAAATTATAATCAATGCCAGCCAAGAGTGAGAAACGTCTCCTAAATGTTTTTGCCTTGTTTTTTGCTAATAACAAGAGTGAGGAGAGTTGAGAAGTATCGATAAGACAAAAATGGGTATCCGAGAACCAGATCCTAAGTGGAACAGACTATCACAACCTTACCTTACTGTTGACTCAGTCTGTACACTTTTCCATGTGGTCGAGATCAGTATTAAAAATGTGTCTCCTTGCAGACTTTTTTCATTCTGCAGAGAAAGCTATGTCAAATAATGGGAAAAAGTATGAAGACTATCCCAGAAAGTGTCATCATTTATGTCACTTGCCATTATATTACTCTCACTCTTCATTTGTAATCCTGTTCCTGCTTTTCATTCGTTGTAGCACATATTGGAATGGACTCCATGGCTTTTCACATTTCCTGCAGCATTACTGCATGTTGATGATTATTGAAGTAAATACATTTCTGTGAAGCTCTGGTACAGTGTGGCACTGACCCATGATAAACATTCCCTCAAGCGTCAGTGTTACCATATGAGCAGGGAACGCAGATTGCCCTGTAACGACATATGTTGTTCCTTAAGGATGGATAGACTTGGATGGTAGAGTCACTCATGTTTCCAATTGATATGGGTTAAGAGTCATAATTGAACCATTCATTTTTGGAAGTGCAGATACCTCAAGGCCTCTTTTGGACCTTGATCTGTCAATCTTTTAGACCACATAAAAATGAAGAAGCCTATTGATACAAAAGGAGATTTTCACAACTTTAAAATATGACGTTTGTTTCCACTCCACATGTATCTGTTCAGAGCTAAGGGAAGATTTTACAGTTTAGATCTGGTTGAAATTATGGGTTTATTCTTGGAAAATAATTACATTGAGTTATAAATTCATAGGTCATAGATTGAGTACACATGCATCCAGAGGGAGGGAAAATTCCAGTAGCACATGTGCAGAACATCTTGGAGAGGAATTTTGAGAGACCTTGGGTAAAGCAGGGCTGCAGGTATCCATTACCTGCCGTTTCCAATTGTTAAATTTGGGCTAACATGAGCAAAAAAAACGGCTCAATGAAGGTGGAAATGACTGGTATGCTAATGATACATCAGTGGAATTGTAAACATGTGATGTCCTCAGTCTGCTTTATCCGCAATTATTTCCTCTTTGTGTCCTCTGAGGATCACATATGAACATCTTGCAGAGGAATTTAAGACGCCAGGCAGGGAAAATCCTTGAGCGATGCACTTCTGCAAAGCCAGGTGTTGCCACTGACATTAAAGAGCTAACGGTGTGTTTAAAATGTGATACAGGCAGACACAGTGGCATCCTAAGTGAATTCTTCCGAACTGTAGGCTATAGTTCAGTCAGCAGGAGCTGCACAATACAAATTTAGTGATGATTTATGTTACTTGCTTTGTTTCATAAAAACAGCTCATCAACCTGCTTGGGGTTGATTTATGTACAGCTACTGGAATGCACATAACACTGTAACAGCACTTTAATGTTTTGTAAGCCTATATGAAGTAACAGCTTGGGAAGCAGTTGAGTTTAAATGATTTTCAATACAGTTTGGTGTTTCATCTACACAATTGTAGTGGTAGCGACAGGTGAAGTGAATAACACTGATTATCTGGTTATCATGGCACCTGTCAGTGGGTGGGATATATTAGGCAGCAAGTGAACATTTTGTCCTCAAAGTTGATGTGTTAGAAGCAGGAAAAATGGGCAGCGTGAGGATTTGAGCGACTTTGACAAGGGCCACATTGTGATGGGTAGACGACTGGGTCAGAGCATCTCCAAAACTGCAGCTCTTGTGGGGTGTTCCCAGTCTCCAGTGGTCAGTACCTATCAAAAGTGCTCCAAGGAAGGAAAAGCAGTGAACCGGAGACAGGGTCATGGGTGGCCAATGCTCAGTAATGCATGTGGGGAGTGAAATCTGGCCCAAGTACAGCTTAAAAAAAAGATCTGTCTGTGATGGACATAAAAGCTCTAAGACACCCCTACGTTCTCCCGTCTCCTCCTCTCAACAGGCCGCGGCAGTGACTCGGAGTCTGACGGTGCCCCCCACAGGAAGATGCCAGACGTCCGTAAGGATGACATGTCGGCAAGGCGGACATCTGTCAGTGAGCCACGGACCGCCATGCCCTTCAACCAGTACCTGCCCAACAAGAGCAACCAGAGTGGTTACGTCCCCACGCCACTCCGCAAGAAGAAGAATGATAAAGATGAGGGAGGGCGCAAGAGTTGGAGTACAGCCACTTCCCCTATAGGGGGAGACAGACCGTTCAGGTGAGTCTGACTATTAAAGTGATTATAAGGGAAGAAATGCCATTTATTTTAGATATTTAAATGCAATTGTAAACCGATAAAGTTCACAAATCTAAACAAATGACATCATGTGCAGCTCAATATTACAATTTCACAACACCAAAAGTCTGTGAATGATTAGAAAATTAAAGATGCATCAATACTTCTGTGATACCATTTTGCTTAGGAGGTTTGAATATTTTGTCTGTTTATTTTTTATTTTTTATTAGTTGTGCAGGGCAACTGCAAATATGACATTATCAAGTCCACCTCTGTGTTCACAGAACAGAGAAGAATAAACTGGTCCTTTTGGGACCTGATGTACAACCTTGTTTTAGATCGAAATTGATCTGCTGCAGATAAAACCTTCAAAATAAAAGCTTGTTGAATTTTGTGGCAGAGAATTCTACGTATTTGAATTCAACACATTTGAATTCTCTTCCAAAATGCAGTTTAACCCGAGAAATTCTGGCAATACTATGTGTTGAACTAGTCCCCTGCTTGCATGGATTGTGAGTTTAATTTAGCATGAGCAATTCTATGTGCAAATATAATATATATATATATATAAAGGAATAAAAAGCTTGTAGTTTTTGCAGAGTTGATAAAAAACCACCAGACTGACAGAATGAGTGTAGATGTTGTCATATATTGTTAATTATTAACCTTTTCTAATACCTACCATCATCCTTTTAGGTTAATTTTGTGTTGTGTTTTAGGAAGAGACGGGGTCGTTTATGTCAAATTGCACATGTCTGCAATTAGATGTTTCAGCTGTTGATTATTTTTCTTTGTCCTGTACTGTACATATGGGAGTGGCTGATGGAGGCCAGATGTGCGTTTTCATTGGCTCTGACTCTGACGAAGCAAAGGGGTGAAATATGCTGCGTAGCAGATTAAAGTCTAAAAGTCTTATTGGCATTCATTGGTTTGGCATGTCACGACGCGAGCGCGCTGGGGACCAATTTTATTCTGTTAAGCATTTCATCATCAGTGGCTCTCACTATAGAGGTTTCAGATTTCTGCTGGCTAAGTGGATCCATAATGTTCTTTGATCAGTTCTAGTATCAGTGTGTGTGTGTGTGTGTGTGTGTGTGTGTGTGTGTGTGTGTGTGTGTGTGTGATGTGTTGAGGTTTGGATGTGTCATTATTTGGCTGTATTCACAGGAGATTGAAGATATTTAATTAAAAAACAAATATCTGCATTCTAATTAGTCTTAATCTCTCTATAACTGGGGAAGTGCTGTGTGTGTGTGTGTGTGTGTGTGTGTGTGTGTGTGTGTGTGTGTGTGTGTGTGTGTGTGTGTGTGTGTGTGTGTTGTGCCTGTGTGACGCTAGTCTGTCAGTCATTCCCCCTATTGTTAAATTCATCCATCGTGCTATGTGTTTCATCAATATGCATATATAAATTGATTTTGCATTATTGTTTTTTATTTCTCCATCTCCTTCCTTTTGTATCTATCATTGTGTTTTCCTTCTTGCCTCCTATTACCTCCCGTGTATGAACCTACTTTTCCCTCACACCTCTGTGTCCCGTGTCTAATAACCATCATGTTGTGGTCATCCTTGTGTCATTGTTGCTATTTCGCTCCAATGTGATTACGTCTTCCTTTTTCCTGTGTGTGACTGGATGATGTAACAGTCCAATTCAGATCGCTAGCTTAGACGCTCCACCTGGAGAGACCCCCAGTCTGTCCCCCACCCCGCCCCAGATCCAGATTCAGGAGAACCAGGCTAAAAAGGACGAGGAGGAAGGGGAGCAGAGAGCCTCCACACCTTGCATTGAGATCCATGCAGCGAGCGTGAGGAGGAGCAGTGAGCCTCTTCCCTGTAACCTCCCCCAGCCCCATGCAGAGCCCCCAATGGAGACTCTAACTCACCAGATGGTCACCTCTGAGCAAAGGTCTTCATCTTGATATGTTTTTCCTCAGTACCCCAAATCAGCAGCCCAATTTTTCAATTCTGATTTGTAGTTCTCTAAATCAACCAAATCTAAAGGTCTTATAGAATTTAAATTTATTTTTTTATATTTTTCTAACAATAAATTGTTGGTATTCTTTTTAAACTGTATGTGTTGTCCTTAAGGAGAATTCCAACAATTTTACACATCAAAGTCTGTTTACAGGTCTTGGGGGGTGCTACTTCATAAAGTTTTTTTGGCTCCAGAGGGAGCTACAAGTTTGAAACTACTGAACTGATTTATTTTATCCAGTGCCAATGCTAACTGTGGGGAGGATTCTTTAGATGTTGGCCATGAACTGAGTCAGCAGCTTAGGTTCTTTGAAACTGAACTTTTATTTTTTTTTTTTATTAATGGGTCAGTTCACCCAAATCAGATAGAACTCACCACAAGCTGTCTGCTGCTGAGAGTCCTCCCTGCACAATCATACGTTCACCAGTGTAGATGAATGGAATGGAACACTGAAAAATGACTCTTAGCAGCAGCACATCAGTCCAAAAACAATGTCCCAGTTAATCAGGGTAATCCACATACTTTGCTGTTTTCATCAGGACTGTTTCTTTGGTAGAAAATAATTCAGATTGTCACAGCCGGGGTTTCCATTTAGCCCATTTCCTCTTTACCAGATCATCGTTTCCAATGGTGTTCTTATCTAGAGAAACATAATGGTGAGTTAGCAGGTAAAGAGTCTTTACCCAGCAGGCCAGCCAGGGGTCACACATTTTACACTTGGTGTCAGATAACAAGGTGAGGATTATGAGCTGTTGGATATTTCACAGTGCACAAGTCCACAATGATGCGTGATCACAATGTTGCTCTTTTGAAAAATGTCAGTTTAGGTCTCTGTTGTTATTTCACAATCTAGCCCTATCCGGTTTTATTTCCTAGTCCAGTAGACATTTCATTCACAGCCCAGTTGAAGAGTTATTAATGTCACACCCCCAGTTTCCAGCTTTTTCTGGCACAGATGATATGCCATTGATTGGATTGTCAGTGTTTCAAGGGAGTGAAAATAATTCTCAGTAGAAATTTGACTTGTTTATTGCTGCATTCCAAGAAAAAGGGGGATTTCTACGATGTTTTCTAATCTAAAAACAGCTTGCATTTTTCCAGAGGAAAACTGAAGCTGGACTTTGTGCATTTTAGTGTTGCCAGGAGTTCATGCTTTCACAAACAGCATATCAGTGTTTGCAGTTGCTTATCAAAGTTGTGTTGACGCATCTTTTTTTAAGAACCTTGTTGTTTGTTTGGATAGAAGTAGATTAGTGGTGACATCCAGCCATATTGTGGTGTGTTTACTGTTTCTTAGCTTGGGCAGAAGTCTCAAAAATAAATGTAACATTTGAATGAGTGAGTATTATTCATTAGATCAACCAGCTGCGTGACAAAAACATCAACAATGATGCATTTTGAATTGATAAAAATCAAAATCTAGAAATAAAGCAAGCATGTACCAGTGGACCAAGAAAATACACTTCCCAATCAAGTTTATAATAATATCACACTTGACCTTTGCTGTCAAAGTCTAGGAACAAAACTGCACGCACTGAACGTAAAATACAAACCTATACATAATGTACAGCAGTTACACACAAAACTGTACTCTGTGTCCACCCACAAACACATGCAACCCACCCTCAGGATGTAAGGAAATGAGGCCTTCTTCCTTCCCTGACCCTGAGCAGGCTGGAACTGAAGCCTGGCTTTTTCACAGCCTTTCCCTCTCTGCCATGCAGACTAGGAGTTTATAGTCCAATAAGACATTCAGTGAATTTTGCTTTGGCTTTGTGAGTCCAATTTGTTTTCACATTCATTCTGCTCTGAAGGGACCATGCTATGCTATTTTCTTAGATTTATGTCTTCAAAAACTCCATTTTGGCTCCTCCAGAGGAATGCTGTCTGATGATGTAGGATGATGACCAGGCATCAGTACGTCTTAGTTTGCTTTGCTTTCTGCAGTACTCCAGCTCGCTCGTGCTCAGAGGAGTTCTTCCACCATTCAACGACTCTAGCAGCAAACACTGCGGCAACTGCCGTGGTTGCAACAAGCCCCGTCATCACAGGGAAACGCCCACCTCTGACAGAGCAGGAGGAGGCACCTGTGAGGAAGGGAATCGCCGGCGCCCCGTTAGTCACAGAGCGAGATGAGAAGCGAGCCCGCCAAATGCTGACCTCTCCCAAACACGTCACCACCCTGTGTTCCTCCCACTTCCTGCCTGTGCCAGCTGCCGTGACAACCACTACAACAGCCACAAGCGATACAGGCCGACGAAAGGGAAGGGCTCGGAGTGAAAGTGAGGACCCCCAAGGAGGGATGTCTTGGTTGGACAGCAATCTTTCAGCAACGTGAGCCCCGTCCAGCAACTACACTACATTTAATGAATGTCCACCGTGTTGAACTAGAACTACATAATTCAACTTTAAAATCAAGGGATCTATTATTCCAGTGATCCTCTTGAGTACTCAATCTCAGCATGTGACATTGACCTCAGACAGCAATGCTCCTATTTGGATGACTTAACTACCTTAAGATTGCATGGCCTTTTATTACATGAATGCAATTGTATTCTAAAAAGCAGTTGTTATTGTACACAGAATGCATGGAAACTCTGAAAAATGCTGTATTTTCTTCTTTCCTTGTTATTAAGAAGTTTGAAGAAGATAAAACCTTTGAGAATGTGGTCTTTGATTTACTACGCATGACTTTAGTTTGCACCCTTTGATCTCTTCAGGAGACCCAATAAAAGGGATAACAGCAATGGACACTGAATTTAATTTGATCCAATTTGAAGTCTAATTATTTGGCAATTCATCAATGCATAAATTGGTCCAACTAGTAAAGGTGGGGTCAGTCATTCTGTAGAAACATAGTTGATTGTTGAGTCTCATTCCCAGGTCAAATACTTTGGGTTATCGTAAATGGGAAACAAACAAAAACATAACACAACAGATGGCGTTCCTGCTCCCAGGTCATCAATATGACAAATATTTGGCAACCCAAGCCTCAAAATGAGACTCAGCAATCAACATTTTTTTTTCCAAAATGACTGACCCCACCTTTAATCAATCAATTACTGATTCCATATATGCCAATAAAATTACATTGGCTTTAATGCAAGCTGACATATTCCGACGAATAGACATTTTACTACAAGATACCATACAGCAAATAGCCATGTGAGAAAACAGTCTATCTGGTCTTGATTAAGAGAGGCTTCTCTTAATTTAGCCTCCTTGTTCTCTTGTGGCGAGAAACCACAGGCCACACTTTCTTTCACACCCCTCCAACATCACAGAGGCAGCTCCATAAAAAAAGACTGAGTGAAGACCTTTGTGGTTGAGGCCAAACCTACAAGGGGTGGTCACAGACAGAAAGAGAGCCGCATCCTTGATGTTGCTTTTGTGCTGTCTAATAAAAGATGCATGAGCTTTTCTTTTTTAAATATTTAAGTGTCAGCTGCATTCTAAGATCATTGCCATATGCATCTGTAGTATTCTAGCAGTGTTTTTGGTTTGCAGTGATGCAGTAAACTTCTGTTCTGCTCTGGCTGTGTTATGGATAAGACTGCCCCCTTGTGCCTGGTTTGAGGATTGTCATTTAAACCAAAAACTGACAAATACGTCTGTGCATAGACACAAGCCAGACTTGTTTAAAACCTCATTAACCAACCTTCACTGGTGCCCAATCTGTATTTAATCTGTCATAACGAACTCATTCTCAGCTGTGATCACAACACTGTATGTCGCCCTGTAACTAACAATCTAATATTCCATCACGGTGTTTTGAATTACGTGTTTCTCTGTCGAGTGAACTTGTATTCATTTGTGATTGTGCTCTCTCTCCATGCTCTCTGCCTTCTGTAGATTCAGCCGCACACATAGTGTGTCAGATGACCCACAGTAAGTCGTCCTTTTACCACGCAGAGGCTCAGCTGTCTGGCCCAGCGCAGCTATGAAACAAAGCCCCACTCAATAATCATTTAATCATTCATTGAGTTTCAGAATTTGATTTTTATCTATGCAAGTGGGAAAATCTGCCAAAGGTTGAAGCAACTTTCTCCAGGATATTGGCAACAACTTCACATTCCTCCTTTTTGGTGTTTCTTTGCTTAAAGGTCACATGAGCAAATATTTTGTGCCTGTTTTTAATATCTTTATCTTTCACCATCTTGTAATAGTAGAGAAATGACAAGAATGCAGTGTTTTCCCACACATAGGTGTACTCTTGCCAAAATATCCCCTCATGTGATACTGTAATTCTCTGCTTAATGTCGTTAATTAGTGCTTTAATTCATCCTGCTGCACAAAGAATTTTCAGTGGAAATTTTGAGTTGTATGATGAGGCTTATTCATTTACAAAACCACACTGAAGACTAGATGTTCTGTGTAAAGACTATGTATAGGAGGTGTACTTGGTGTAAGGTGTACTTTATCACTACATTTGTTACAAGATGATCTTATGTGATTTAACACCTCTTAACAAAAGTTCTCTTTGTATGGAAAACAAAAGTTTCCTCCAATTAAGCAGATTCTTCCTACTTGCATCACTTAAATTTAAATAATAATATAAGACATCGGATGTATAAAAGTGGACATTTTTGACTGTGTGTTTTAACAGTTTCAAACAATGTCCCTGTAGCCCTTATTTTTCCATAAATCTACTGGACATGCTTTTTTGCCTTTTTGGCTGGCAACAACCCATTCCTCTCTGATTTATTCCAAGTGCCTGCAGCAGTGTCTGTGGAGAGGACTTACTAAACTGTGCTGCTCCAACGTCACCTCACTGCCTCTGCCAGCTGCATGTCTCATGTAACAACTATTTCCACCACCCATCCAACATCCCCATCCAAACTCACGAAACAAAAAAAAAATACCATCATGATAATCTCCTTTGCTGCTAAAAACTAATGCAAAAAGTGCGGCTTTTCATGAAGCAGGAGAGAGGATTCATAACCAGAGTATGATTGAAATGTTTGTTTTAAAAGTTTTGATTTAAAGGGTATAGTTATTCACCATTGCACTGGGACGTGTACAGATTAAACCTGTACCTTTATCCGTCCCACTGGCCTAAACTTTTAAAATAAAATAACATGTCTGTCATCTCTTGTGTTGAAAACACTCTCCTGCTAAACATTACTCGGGTCCACCCAGTGATCAGTGGGCTTCAGAAAACATTTGACCTTGAGTGAGCACTGTAAGTAATGTTTGATAGCACTCCTTTTATAATGTTAAGCCAAGCGATACCTTTTTATGTCGGCAATGCTTAAATTTCTTTGTCTTAAAACAAAAACATTGATTTTACTCATGACTTTAATGACCATCGCAGTTATAGAATATAATGATTTTACCCAAATCTTTGACAAGCACCCAATACAGCTGCATGCTCCTAACAATACGGCTGATCTTTGCTGTCTTGTTAAATGGATGCTTTAACATTACTGACTGAACTGATATAAAGAGCAGTGTAAACACTGGTTGTTGCACCTGACACACTCACATCAGAATGTTACTTGAAGCTTTACAGCCACAGGTACCTGCACCTGAAGCTGCTATTTTCAAAGTTCCCGTTATATGACATTTTAACATACCTAATGTGATGCGTTTCCTGTTGAATGTTAGAATAATATGGTATAATTTAAAAGAACAAACCAAAGGCAAAGTACTTTGAGGGAGAAAGGTTTGATTTTGTTGTTTTGTTTGAAGGGTTGAATTCTTGTTAAACTGAAATGAATGTTGCATTGGTCCTAAAATCTTAGTTATGTACTGAGTGAGCATGAAGTTACCTTTGTACCTTTGTCCATTCATGGGGTCTTATTTTGGTCTCTCTACTGAGCCATAGGCTACAGGTTATTCTCTTTCACATATTTGTGGATGATGTGTTTCCTTTGCTGTTACTCTATAAACATAGATTACTGTATAAACACAGATTTGGGGTGGAGCATCACCTCGAGGGAGAATTATTTTTCAGTTCAGTTTCTCTTTTGTCACTGTTGAGTCTTTACAGTGTTTTTACTGTGTTTGACTGTATGAAACCGATAAAGACACCAACATACAGTACAATGCGATTTATGGAGTCACTAGTATCATTATAAAAAACATGAAAAACGTTTTCTGTCATATTCTGGCGATGACATATCAACATATGTTTTTCATTGTCCATATTCTCTGTTTCTCTCTCCTTCCCTCTTCCCCTTAGGAGTGTGAGTATGATTGACATGCGTGGTGAGGACGAAGCCGTCTTGCAGCCCCACAGTCAGGTGCGTCATGAACTGATGCACAACCAGTACAACAAGATGAAGGAAGAGGACGATCACTGGCAGGATGTGAGTGTGTCAGATTTGTTTGAGTGTTAATGTACTCTCATTTTCTCTTAGTGTGCATTTATTTATTTATTTTGATTAAGATAATTTCTTATATATTTTTTGCTGCATTATGATTACTTTTTACCTCCAAGTAGAATTTTGTCTCATCTGTACGGTCTGTATTTCTTGTCTACATTGTGTCAGAAGTTTATCAGTAATATGCAATGATTTTAGTCCCTGCAGGCCGAAGCACAAGCTCTAGTAATGTTTTTTTGTGCCTCAATTAAGCAACTTTAATCAGTTTTATAGGGCCACGTGAATTTTTCAGGTATCACAACACTGCTGGGCCATGCCCTCCCCATGCCTTTATTCACTTGAACTGAAACACCCTCTGTTTGCATGTGTCAGGACCTGGCCCGGTGGAAAAATCGGAGGAGGAGTATTTCCCAGGATTTAATCAAGAAGGAGGAGCAGAGGAAGATGATGGAGCGGTTGATGTCAGGAGAGCCATGTATCTCAGAGAGGAGGAGAAGCATCAAGACCTACAGAGAGATAGTGGAGGACAAGTAGGTTGGATTAATGACATTTATGTTATTTGTATAAAGCTGCATTTTTCAGTCTGGCTTTTAAATGTGTTTTTGGGAACATTTTGTATTGATTATGCTGTAATAACTACAAAATGACCAACATGGAACCAATACCAAATAGAAATAGGTCTTAAATTGTATTTTATAAAGGTCTTAAAAAGTCTTAAATTTAACCTGTTTAAACCTGCAGAAACCCTGATTAAGCTAAAAGAAAACCTGTATGTACAAAACAATACTAGTATAATGGAAAACAGGAAGAGAATGTGGTCATAGCCCTCTCTCCGCACTCCCCTGTCACTCCTCACCTCATATTCAGTAGACTATAGATTCAAATGTAGTTGTAGTAACATTGTTTGACATCCTAACATACCTTTTTTTTTTTTTTACATTTATTTAAAAAGCTATTGCTCTAGAATTGTTGCCCTGCACTTTTCACTTCACCGATGAATCAGTTTGTCTGTCACCTCGGACAATTGTTATTGTTGATACATTTTACGTTTCCAGTGGGTTACCTACCCAGTTATTTCCTGAAAACATGAAGTCCATCATTTCTTTTTCACCAAAAGATTTACTGTATGATTAATACATATACATATATGTGTGTTTAGATCAAATTGCTACATATCAAATTAAGTGTTTACAGGGTCAGTCAGTTGCCATTAGCAGTTAATGCTAATAGAGAGTTAACCTTTATTTCATGCAAATCAAACTGTGTCATATCAGTTGCACAGCTGTTTTGCTTTATCCCTGCTGTGCCTCCTTCCCTCTTCAACAGGGAGCGTCGCGAGGAGGAACTGCGGGATGCATACAGAAGAGCCAGAACCCCAGAGGAGGCATCAGCCATCCTCCAGCGCTACGCCCAACGTTTCTCTATCAGTGACGCGGTCCTGGAACGCCTACAGTTGCCAAAGCTCCTGGACCGCAGCATATCTGCTGATCCCTCCTTTCCCTGCTCACCCTTCCCTCTCTCCCTCTCCCTGTCTGCCTCCCCAACGACCCCAGACCCCTTCGACGCAGACCCCAACGGGCCTATGAGGTATCTGCGGCAGCAGTCCGCCCCGGCTCCAAAGTTCACGTCTACACTGGAGGCGCGAATCGAGGAGTTTCCCAAAGACTCCTCACACCAGCGGCCTCAGATTCGTTCTCGCTCGTCTGAGCCGCCATCCACCCGAGGCCTGTCGCCCAAACCGGTGCCTTTGCTGACGCCCAAGCCTTACTTCCAGTCCCGACCCACAGTGGCTGATCCATGGCCTAGTAAGGTGAGACTGACTCTGAAGCACTTGTCAACAGATCACTAGTCAACAGAAAAAATAGATGCATTATTGCTGCTGTAAATATGCTTTACAGCGTTCTCCAAAGGCCATGTGGGTTGTTGCCTTTTCAAATGTCTGGTTGCAACAGTAAAATCTACACCGCACAGTTTTGACTCTACTTAAAGTTCTCTTCATACATATATGAAATGATTGATATTTGATTAGTGTAACCACAACAGTTCTGCAGAGGGGATGACTGAGGTCTTGACCACTTTACATGTGGTTACTTCCCAGTGTTGGCTGCCCTCCTCTCAGACTGATGGGTAAATTCCCCTCCAGCTCTCTTGGCAGTCACATTAGAATGCCACAGAACCACCATGGTGATGAGGCGGCTGGTTTCTAGGAAAACACAAGATTTCCCCTCCCGGAAGAAGCATGTAATGTTTCAATTTAGCTCAAAGTACTCTCAACAGGATCCATTTCCCTTTCTTCTGGAAAAAATTGCCAAATGGGAATATTCAAAATGAGATCTTATGTTTTGGTGTGGCAGGGAGGGAGGGGCACGTTATTACTAGACCTAATGGAGCTGAGCGCTTTTCTGGAATGTCTTGTCAGAAGTCTGAGCGGAGCCTGGTTTTGAATGGGGCCCTCTGTTCCCTATTGACTTAAGAAGTTGACAAGTAGGGCCCTCTCAATGTGAAGTGGGCTCCCAGCAGACAAAGAGGGCCCACACAGGCTCCTAGGAGAGGGATGAGAAGGTGGAGGCGTAGGGGGGGCAGACTGAGAGCCTGCATTCACCCAACTTCACGACTGTGTCTTAAGTTACCGCTCACTAGGAGCTCCTCATACATACATTAGTGCGTCTTTGTCATAGGGTTTTGCATGGTGTTGTGAGCTAGATGAATAGCTAATAACGAACAGAGATGCGAGGCTGCTAATGACCACAAATGGGGTTGCTGTGTTTTCAAGCATGGGGTTTATTTTAATTTTTTGGTTGTCGTCACTGCTAAAAATACTAGAACAGTCTGATTGTAGCAGAAATTCAGGCAATGTTTCCTCCAGATGTCTAATGCCTATAAATAGATTTTGTGTATGTGAGTCATGTATTTCAATTCAGGTTTGAGAAAACAAATTATAGACATTACGAATCTCATACAGGTGCAAATGTACTCATGCTAACTGAATTTTAAATTAAATAATTAATTCTGAATCCCTTGGAATTAAATGGAAGTGTGACAATATCCATTTAGAAAGAAATTTAATAAACCACTCAGCCCACAGTCTAGTCCAATTCATCTACTGGTCATAATTAATAAGGACAGGACAACATACTGTCTGGACAGGTTACCTTTAATGCTTTTAAAGTTTCTCCTTGAACTGTACAGTGTGGATATAAAGCCAATATTAAACCTGTTCTCTTCTGATTCAGGCGGACGGTTTGCTCCGAGTCAACGGCGACATAGGAAGCGCCGATGTTCCAACTACGCCTGAGAGTCAAGGACGGGAATCTCCTCCTCTTTTCGAGGCGTCCCCTTCCAAAACCAGCAACAGCACTGTAGATGCTCCCTCGTCTGCAGCCTCACCAACTCGCAGTCCTCACGCCTCGACCGGAGGAGAAAGCCCGGTGGCTACAAAGGCCGAGGAGGCTCAAGGTGGTACAGAACCGGCTTCTAAGGACGTCCAAGAAGAGAAAGTCATTGAGCATTCGACGCCACCCAGCCGGCCCACCTCGCTCCCATCGGTCAGGATTAAGATATTTCTTTAGTTGATTACAACAAAATAAAATGATAGACCCATTTTGTAGGTGATCCTTCACCTTCTTTTACCAAACAGTTCAAGACTAAATTACATACAGAAAATATTTTGTTCATGAAAAAGTTGGTTTGATCCAGTGTAGGTTTAGAAGCACAAACTTGCCATAATTGAACTAATTAAATAATAAAAGTGATTTAAATAAGTAATTAAATCAGTTCAGGAGCACAGTGCTTTAAGTCTCCTAACTGCTGCAGAAGGCCTTAAAACACCTCTGTATGTCACGTATAATTTATTTTACATTCCCTTTCTCTTCTAACAGAAATTACAGACTGTATATTCAACACTAGTGCTGTAATCTGCTCTTTGTCCTTAGACCCGTTTTGCCATCTTTTGATTATCTAATTATTGGAATCTGACTCTGCATGTCTATTTTTTTATACATATTCCTCATGCACTACACATGCCTCTTTATCTCAGGCTTGTTTAGTTAATTATTGAACCTGGAAACCATCTCTTCCCATTGTTTATAGGAGCTGCAGAAGCCAGAAGAAAGCTTTGGGAAGACTGGAAGCAAGTCAGTAGCTGCTCCAGAGGAGGAGAAGTCGAAAACTGCAGCTCAACAACAAACACCACCTGCAGGTCTGAACAGCATGCTGCTATGCTGACCCCTTGTGGTTGCTCATAGACTTGTGTAATTTACAGGTTATGCACTACTGTAAACTGACTAAACATTTTTGGAAAATGGGATCATTTTGAATTTTGTGGAAAAAATGTTAAAGGAAGTCATTGTCAATACTGTTCTGTTTTTCATATGATTTTAACAGGAGTGATACAATTGTGTTGTCTTTGTGTTTTCAGAAGCCAAACAAGTACAAGAAAAAACTGAAACTGAACTGATCTCCAACCTTGTCCAGTCCGGGTCCATCACACTGCAAAGTCAGCCAGTAACTTTACAGGTGAAACCAGACTAGTATTCACTTTTGTCTCCAAACATATGCAAAGAACCCATTACCCAGCCATACAATGGATAATCTTTGAATCTCCTTGCAGGCAAGTGTTCCTAGTTCCCAGGAGACGTCCCAGGAAAAAGAGAATGTACCAAGCTTAGCTGCACCAAGGTCAGATGGATATCAACCACCAATAGAAAAGACAGCAGGTCAGTGAACGCCTCACATCAAAATACCAAGCCAGCAGCTTCTTTTCCATACATCTCCTTGTTTTCTGAGCTCGATTAGCATATCTTCCTCGCTGGCTTTTTCCCCTTTTTGCTTTTCAGCCTGACACTTATGTTTTGTTGTACTGCAAGATGTTTGAATCAGAGTTTAAGGGTATTTCAATAATGTGACTATTACCATCTTATTTTGGCAACCTGCACAGACTCCTGCTTCACCTTTCTTATCTGTTCAACTCTAATTGGCACTTACAGTAAAGTCCCCCTTTCACTTTTCACAGTGTAGAAAGGTATGCAAGCTAATTAGACCTGAGATCCAACAAGAACATACCTAAAAGTGGCAAACTAGCCAATTGCAATTGCTTTTCTAGATAGTGTAATAAAAGCACTGGTTTGTTGTTGTTTACTCTTCTGTTTATGTTCTGACTTTTTGGCTCTCAAGTTAGGATTGTCTTGAAATTCTAGTGTGGTAGAAAGAAAACTTCTTAAAATTGTAACCTCTTTAAAAACGTACATTTGTTTTTCAGTTACAATTCATTCAACCTACAGTATCACAGGAGCAGCATTATAAAAGCCTTCCCCAGTTCTCCCGATGTCCATACCAACTCCTGGTTTTGACATCTCTCTATCCCTTATCACTCCTCTCCCTCCCTCCCTTCCTTCCCTCACTCCCTCCTCTCCTTCCACCCACATTTTTTTTTATTTCGCTATAGAGTTTGCAAACAGTATCAGGTCTCCGCTGGCAACCAGCAACCCTAAGTTACGCTGGGACTTCTTCGCTCCGCCAGGTAAACCCCTTCATTCATCGGTGGAGCTCATGTTTCTGTCCCCAGGTGCTGAATGCACAGGGTTTCCCTGTCGTTTCTTTAAGGGCTAGACAACAGCCTTTCAGTCCCATCTGTTGTTTTTTCACTCATTTCCAGAGAATGGATGATCATTGATGTGCTCTTTCTCTGTTTTAAATGTGTTGTGAAGTTTCCCATTTGTGCTACAACTATGTACAATGCAACTTTACATTGCTAGCTTTTCCACCAAAAGCTAGAACATAAAGTCTGCCGCAACATCTGGATCACTCCTACCCATAGTGATATTGAAAACATTTCAATTTATAGCTGACAACATTTTTAGAAAATTAAACAAATAAACACTAATCATTACTATGACTACTTATTGGTTAACTGCCCATTTAGCATGTTGCTCTTGGTGAACTGGGTTTCTGTCACTGTTCTCTCCTTGTGTTCTTTCATCAACATTTTTACTCCTTAGGTTGTCAAACCAACACTTGGCGTGTTCATTTTCCTAAATATTTACTCCCATCAGAAGGCATTTAGTTTGATCACCTGTATCTTAAAATGTTTGAATTGTATTTTAATTAATGTTCCCTCTCACACTTCCTCTACAGAGGAGACGGAGAAGGATTGCCGTGGAAATGTGAGTAAAAAGCATCATCTGACTACATAATATTTTGTGGTCAGACAAACCCTTGTACTGCTTCTCATCTGGCTTATCTCATTGGTTACAGTATTTTAGTTTAACATACTGCATGTACACAGAGATAAAAACAAATGCTGAAAATAGACAGTCATTCAGGAAAATAGAAAGTCTGCAGTTAAGAAATCACCATAAAATGCCTTTCATCTAAATGGAAACATAACCGAAACCAAGAAAAATAAAAGTAAAAGTACTGCCTGCATCTAAACCCTTTATTAGCAGTGTTCAACATCCTGTATAGTACTCATTTAGAAACTAGGATGATCGTATCTCACAATCCCATTAAGTGGTTTGCAAGCAAAATGTCATGATGATCTTCTGAGATCAAGCCCTATTTTAGGCTCTACTAGGACATACACAAAGGACACACAGAGCTTTCATGTAGCATGCCAGATGAGGATGCTGTAGTAAACGGCCGAGACTGCTTTCATTTTCCTTTGAGCTCATCTGTCTCTTTTTCTGTCTTCTCTCTCCTTAGTAGGAGTCCTTTGGCTAGCATTGGAGTAGTGCTGTTGTGGTAGACCAACTATTTCTGTCTCCTCCCTTCCCTTCTTCTTTTCCTGTGGTGGATGTGTGTGTGCGCACTGGTGTTGATGTGTGTGTGTGTGTGTGTGTGTGTGTGTGTGTGTGTGTGTGTGTGTGTGTGTGTGTGTGTGTTGGGGCCATATTTATTGGTCTTTCATTGGCTACATGGTTGGGTGCGAGTGTGTTTGTGTGTTTGTGTGGGAATGGTGGTCGGTTTGCGGGTGGATGTGAATGTGTGCATGATTATTGGTGTGCCATGTATGTATTTGTGTGTGTGTGTGTGTGTGCGTTGGGGTCTATCAGGTGTCAGTCCCGGTGTTGCCCCAGGCCAGGCGGGGTGACCGCTGGTCTTGGGACCCGGATGAGGAGCGAAAGCGTCAGGAAAGGTGGCAGCAAGAGCAGGAGCGCATGCTGCAGGTACACAGTATACCTCAGAAGGATAAAGCATGGCGCATGAGTCTGCAAGGTCAGGGGTTCAGTTCCCTTTAGAGCAAGGCACCATCACTGTGAGGATTAGCTGCAGAATGGACTTTTAGCTCTAAACATCTATTGTGTTTTAGCAAAGGGGTGTACAAACAAGTCCTAGAGAAAGAAACAATTGGATGAGGCAAACCTCAGTCTATGGAGAAAAAGATAACTTTAAATGAGCATGTGAAGCTAGCTGATTATGAGGCCTAGCTGACCAGCTATGGAGTTTGGGAGTCACCTATAGCTTTATTAGCCAATTTGCACAATTCATTGAGTTAGAACAGGATAATGTGCTATTTATCATTCAGCAGCTTCACCTTTCATGAGAACATAGGCTTGTAAGTAAAGAATTGATGTACCTTTCTTTTGCTAGCAAATGTACTACTCATATAGCCTATCTGGGCTTTTTGTCATAGACTATAATTAGTAATTAAAACTCTAGTCTCTTAATTGGTCTTAAATTACAGTGCATCTCGATAGGCCCAGCAAGTCACTGGCATCTCAGGTCCACATTTTTTTAAACACGATTTAATATGTGTCAAAGACTCTTAAAGCAATTTGCACATGTTGCACTTTACATGGCAGGCAGATTTTGGGTTGACTTGTTATCAGCTTAGCTAGGCATGAGAGACATCATATCTCAGTAAGTACTGAGTGGTTGATTTGTGGATAAAAGCTGTCTAGACTTCTGGCTTAAAACATTTGTAGGCATATTTACACACTTTACTTTAACAGTATTTCAATCACTGTATTTCAGTGTGAACAGGCCCTTACTACATGTTGAAATATGAATTGCTTAAAATAAGAAATAAATGGTTATATGTAACCTAAATGTCTACAAAACTTTCACTTTTCACACAAACATAGCCCAGTTTTAACTGAAATGTTTAGCCTGGAACTGTAATACTTTTATACAGTTTACTAAACCCTGATAGTGAGTTCCGACCCTGCAGTAGGACAGTGTGACATGTGCTCAGCTCAGAATCAGATGGATTAACCACATTTCATTGCTACTTGCAAAGCTTGCCTCCATGTTTGTTTTATATTAAGCATCCTTCTCAAAGGCACGCCCCAACTACTCCTATGTACACTTTGACCACTAGAGGGCGATTTTGTGCAGTGGAAGAACCACTACTTTGGTTTTATCCACTCACTGTCTCCATCTCATACACAGACAAGAACTTTGTCTAAGGTTGCTGCTGTTGCTGCTGCCCAAATCACCCTCTCTCTCCTCGACCAATCAGGTGCATCTCAGGTCCACGTATTTTAAAAAATGTGAGGATTTATTCGGATCCATGATGTACTGTACTCATCTATAGTGCAGTCTTAATAGATCATTCTGGAAAACGTCAGTGAAGAGAACGTATTTCTCTGCTTTGCGGTTGTTGCAGGACTGTTTGAGATGAGATGCGCTGAAATGGATGAATGTCTGGTGCATCAATGTGCTTGTGACCTCCCTAGTTGATTCTGTGTCGTCGCTGTGCCTCGATCTTGATCTGTCATCTGTCTTGCATTAGTTGCTTTCTCTCTAACTCTTGGATGTTTAAATGTGGCCTTCTTTTGGGGTTCCTACACAAGTCTGAACAGAGTTAAAAACTCTGTCTGTGTTTGTCTAGAAAAATCTTAAGCAGCAGTGGGATGTCATCCCAGTTACTATTAAAGTAATTCAATTATTTTTATTTAGGGAAGCTTTTGAAATGAAAATTGTGTAGGAACCCTGTCCTCCACAGGCTCTGCATGCTCTACTTTCGCCTTTTGTTAGCTGTGCCTGCTTCTGGTCTCTTTTTGTTTGCTTTTTATCCCTAACATGCAAATATCAGGTCTGAGCAAGTGTCTAGCGATGAGAAAATAGCAAACTATCTATCCGTTGGTTTATGTTTCAAAGTCAAGGCTTATAGTTAAAGTACATACTGAGGGCGTCCCACATAGAAATTTAATATAATCTACCAACAATTCCTCTCTTGGATTAATGAAGCAGGATGCACGAGGAGAGAATTTTTTATCATCGACTGAAACCTTTTGATAAGCCTCTCAAAGCCCTTTGATGCCCGATATGTCTGTGGATCCTTTTCCTGACAAAATATCCACCTGTCGACAGTTTAGTCCTATTCGTTGAGGCTCTGTGCTGTATGTCATGTGTCTGTTGCCATGGTAACAGGAAAAGTACCGGCGCGAGCAGGAGAAGCTGAAGGAGGAGTGGGAGAAAGCACAGAGGGAGGTGGCAGAAGAGGAGAGAAAGTACCACGAGGAGGTGTGTGAGGGAATCTGTGATGGGTTTTTGGTTTTTATCTAGTGTGTTAAACTCAAATATCTGAATTCAGGATAAATCTGGACTCAGTGTTGTTTAAAAGTTAAATGTATAATATGTGTGAACTGTGTATGTTTCAATTAAAAACCAAAGTGTAGTTGACTTATAATCTTGATAGCCCATGATAATACGTACGTGTTGTTGACAACTCACCCACGTCTCCCATCACAACAGGAGCGAAGGATACTGGAGGAGACTGTGACGCCTCTGACTCCCCGCTCCTCAGCCCTGCCCTCCCCCAGCCGAGGGGAGCTCTCCTTCACCCTGGAACCCCAGGACACCATCGTCCGTTCACTGGCCGACTGGGAACGCAAGCAACAGCTGCTGGAGAGGCAGTCTGTGAGTGACTGACTGGTTATAGTTTGTTAGATGCGTGCATTCATTTCGTATATATTCAGGAAGTCCCGCCCCTTTTTGCTCTGTGCTTCAATAACAGTTGAGCAAGCCTCGATCAGAACCTCAATCAACTTTCTCCTTTCCTGTACTCAGATGTGCTATGTGCTGGACTCGTCAATGTCGATAATACATATTTTGTTCTGCTTACATTAGCTAACTTAAAATGTGACTATATATATATATATTGCTTTTATCTTTTAACTATCTTCAAAAGGTGGTTGTCTTCTCTATATAGATGAGCCTAGCACATAGCATCATCTAAGTACAGGAAAGGAGAAAGTTCAAGCTTGCTCAACTGACACCGAGCAAAAAGTGTCAATTGGTTAGGATTACTGGAGTGGGCACCCTGTGTTTTTTCATTTGGTGTTAAACTACCTGTTCCCTGTTTGTGGTTGGACGGTACAGAGGGGGAGCACAGAGAGTGTGGAATGGAAACGGAGAGATAACGACAGGACCAGTGACATCAGCACTGCTGACGACAGCATGAAAACAGGCAGGAGGTTAGTGAAGTATCATTAAGCGGCACATGTTGCATTTTAGACATTTTAGCTGACATTTTGACCACCAGTGGCTTTAAATAAGGCCTTGTGTGGCCTTAGTGTGACTGTGAGTTATTACTGTTAATGTGAGAAACAGGTGGCTTTCCCAGAACTCCCAGAGAAGAAGAAATAAATGTTTTTGTTTAATAGTCACCTGCAGATACACAATAAAATGTTATGTGAAAAGACTTTGCTGCCTTTTCACATTTACTTAGAGACACCGGATCTTCAAGCATTTCCTGATACTTTGCAAGTCCTTGTATTGTTTTGATTGTTGTGGGATCAGTTAAGTAACAGTTACATAAACTATGAAAAGCAAAAAATACATTAAGTGTAGGTATAATTGCAAAACACAATTGATCTCAACATGTTTTCTGATCCTCAGCTCAGTGAGTCAGAGCAGCAGTCAGGCGGCAGAAACACTCGGTCACAGTCTGCAGAACGGCCAAAAACTCCCCCCGATGCCGGCCAAAACCTCGACTCCGGTAAAGAAACAACAAGAGCCCACAGCAGACAGCAACAAGCCCAGCCGGCCTGCAGGAGACAGGAGGTGTGTGAATGTGTGTGAGAGAGCTAAAGTACTCCAAGGTGTGCCACAATTCCTGCATTTCGTAATCTGAGAAAGAAAGTTATTTTTTGGTTTTGGTTTTTTCATCCAGAGTTCAGTCCCTTTCAAGTTCTAGTTAAGAGCAAATTGTTGCAATCATACAGAAACTGGTGTCCTTCAATAACAGTGTGGATATAAGACACAACCGAGCAGCACCAGTATAGACCTATTATCACAACGGGGAATATTTCCTTTGCATTCATATTTCATCCCAGCTGTAAATAAATCTAAAGACCACAATAGTGTCCAGCAGCGTTTTGGTTGGAGTGAAGCTTTTAGCAACACCTCCAGTTCACCAGCAGGTGGCATCTTGTACCTGTATTTCCCCCCCTATAGTCTTCCTCCACATAAAGAAACAACAGTCTATGACAAGAGCAGTGTCTATTAGAATCATATAGTAACCCATAACACTGCATGTAAAAGAATAAAGTAAGCCTCAGTTGGGGACAAACATTGCTGAGTAGATTTTGATTTCGTCAAGTTTGTTCTGGTTTGGATTGGTTCGTCTCTGACTCTGGCAGCCAATAGAGTCGCTGTAGCTGTGAGTCATCATCACGTTGCATGTTGCTGTCCATTTCCAGGATTGGTCCCATTGATAATAACATGGGCCGCAGCTCATCAAAACCCCCCGCAGCATGTCCACCACCTCCAGACACACTGCCTCCAGCACCCAACAGGTACTGCATCACAAACAGCCCAGCATTAAGGGAGGGGGGGGGCAGTTCATTTCTGCATTGTCATTTTGTGTTTTGCTGCCTACATTTCTCCACCCATCTCATAACATGTACCACTGCAGCAAGGAGCTTTGAACGCAGTGAGAATTTCAAATACAATACATGGAAACAGAGGAGTTTAGAAATCATCTATTTCTTTTAAACATTCATTTAAATGTCCCAGAGTTATCTGGAAGTTCAAGTGTTTATCTGCAGTCCCAGGTTATTAAAATACAACTATAATAACAATTGTTTGAAAAATAGCGCACAAGAAGACAGAAAATACACAATGACATCAGCTGTACAGAGAACAAGCACACACTACTGAAGACAGGGACCCCAGATCAATAGAAATACAAACAGAAACAGCAAAGACAAAGAAACGTTATTGGCAAGGCTATGGAAAATACTACCACACTTTATTTTCCATCAAATAACTATAACACATTGATTTTTGTTCACTGTAGTACCCTGGAAGGATAGAGGAAATGCAGAAGATGCATTCTGACATTAAGTCACTGTTTACTGTGTAGAGAATTGTTTTGGATGGGATTTAGTTTTTCTGTATAATTTATTTGTTATTTCTCTTTGTATCTTTCTTAATATTCCGCTACAACAAGACACAAGTCTTTCACAGTCCCTTCTAGTGTCATAGTTTTTCTGTCTTTATATCTCTTTCTCCCTCCTGTAGGTCTGTTAGTGGGAAGAAACTGTGCTCCAGCTGTGGACAGCCGTTAGGAAAAGGAGCGGCCATGATAATAGAGACCCTCAGTCTTTACTTCCACATCCAGTGCTTTAAGGTCAGTGGCAGAGGGAGCACTTGTTTTCACAAAAGTGCTTTTAATGTCAAGGCTCAGTATTGTTCTTTTTTATTTAGTGCTGTATTGATCATTAATGACAAGTATGAATGCTGCTGTACCTAAGCAGTGGTGTAAATACGATAAAAGCACGCGGCCAGCAATGATCTCTGTTGTTCATATTATCCCCCATAAAAAGACAAAAACCAACTATGAACCTCAATTTTAAAATATAAATATATATATATATATATATATTGTGAGGAAAGTCACAAAACATTGAGAGACTAACACATTGCTGGTTTGGGTCTGTTCATAGCGTTTGAGAACTAACCCTAGCCCCCACGGTTTCTCTCTCTCTCTCTTCAGTGTGGGGTGTGTAAGGGACAGTTAGGCGACACGACCACGGGGACGGACGTCCGGATCAGGAACGGCCTCCTCAACTGCCACCAGTGCTACATCCGCTCCCGCTGTAAGTCTCTCCACCCCTCTCTCCCATGACTTCCTTCCATCTCTCTCTCTCTCTCTTTTCTGTCTCACCCTCCTTTTCCCCCTTTTCTTCTGTCTCTGTACGTGTCCACCCATCCTTCCAAAACATCAGTGAATAATGAATGTGGTTGGGTTCTGTCGGCTGGTTCCGAGCAAATCAACCACCAGAAAGAAAGAAATTACTTTCCTGTTATATGATGCTCATAAAGAGAGAGTTTAATCATTCTCTAGGATTATAGAGAGGGTGTGTTGTTGTTCCTTATTGTTTGTTAATGTTGGCCATATTTCATATTTCCACTGATGAATAAATGCCATTTCCAATGAGGCGATGGTGTCGTAGCTCCAGCAGTAAATAAAGGGCTCATAAACCAGGTAGAAAACCAGACAGTTAGCTTGATTTATTGTTTTCAAAGTAAACTTGACACTATTTTATGATAAAAATGTAAGGTGTATTTCAAAGGTTTCATTCTTTATTGCGGCCCGCTGTGTGGCTGATAAGACGAGTGTATTTTAATATAAGAATCCTACCCAGTGCAGCTTTAATAAAGAAGTGTCAGACACGGTGACGATGGCTGAATGGATCTGAAGCTGCATCGGGAGGAGGAGAAACTAGTGATGTAGCAGCTGGGAGAGGATGACAGTAGCTTTCACCTTGCCTGCACCAGAGCAAAGGTTCATGCTTTCTAAAAGACACAGCTCACGTAACCTCTCAGCGGCTGTTATCATTGGGGGATCAGGAAACCACAAAATCAAATCAGAGCCTCAGTCAAAAGACTTGCAAGTCATTAACCCAAATTAAGAGGTTTTATTTCATTAGAGCTGCATGTCCTTGACCTTAAAATCCCTTCAAAAAAGACCATTGTGGTTTATAAAAATTGTGGGCTTCCTTCTCTTTCTCTTTCTTTTTCCTTTCAAGCTGCCGGACAGCCGACCACATTGTGACGCTCGACAGAAAAAAGCACAAGGTTCACGGAAGAAACCCCATCCCTGTTTTAACCCGATTATCTGCAAATCATGTCCTTCACAGCGTGTCGGGATCTTTGCATCCTCTGCAGTTCAGTAACCAATGAAGATTCATCATGAGGGGCCAAACAGGGATCTGCGGACAGTCTTTAACAAATATATATATTCTTCGTGTTTATGTCATCTGATATGTGAGTGAAATCTGGATTTGATTGGTCCACGTACCACCACAGACTCTGTTTCATCATGCAGCGAGAGAAAGAGAGTGAGAGAGAGAGAGAGAGAGAGAGAGAGAGAGAGAGAGAGAGAGAGAGAAAGAGACTGTTCTGGGGTGGCGGCCATGTTGAAAAGAAAACATTTACAGATGCTTCATATGCAGGCAATGTTAACGTCCCACACTGTCAGAGTGAACACACAAAAAGAAAATATGGTCAAATCATGGTTAAGTAGAATCAGATTCTATTTTCCAGGTTGGAAAAAATGTGAATATTTACCATTCAGTTCCATATAATGGAAATGCAGTATATCACATAGTTACTGAAACGCTTTTTTTTTTATCATTTAAGAAAGATTTGGAGGGATCAAAATCCAAAAACTGGAATCCAAACTGAATAAGTGTTGAGGGAGCTCAGAATGGATTTTTTAAATTTCTCGTTAACAGGCTGGATCTGAAAAATATGAATAATTGTACACCCTTTCAATGAAGTACTAGATTAAAACAAAAGCAAATACAGAAACTTTGTTCAGAAAGTGCAATAAAGGTCACTGTAATCCCACAGACACAATATATACAGTAAGATAGTATTTTTTTGATCCTTTGGTCCTTACAGTGACCTCTTATGTCTCTTCCTTTGTGCTCCTGAATGAAATTAGCTTCTGATATAAACACACATTATGGATGTAGTTTCATCATTAGGGCAATAACTCGACTTGTGAGCTGTTTCTGTGCTTTCGGGTCACAGCAGGTTGCTCCTCGGCCAGCCTGTTCGCTTGGAAAGTCAGGACTTCAATGTGCCTTAGGAAAGCAAGGTGATGCAGGAAAAAAACACCAGCTGTATGGTGTTTTATTTCTCTCTCTTTTCTGTTTTGTTTTTGCGTGTAGGGAGGGATTTGGCCAAATTTGAACCCTTAAAAACTGCACACAGACAAGCTGCAGCCCTCCCTTACACCAGTTTTACTTCAGTTGATAAGTACTGTTTATTTTACATAAACAACACCCCTTACTTTCATGTTTCCCCCGATGATTCCTCAGTGATTTGCAGTGATAAGAACCAGAGGAATACATGTGTTGTCTATTTGGAAAAAAAAGCCCAGTATAGAGTACATATACTGCGGGGAAACCATTGAAGTTGTTTTATTCTAGAGAGATATAGACTTCTGTATGCTAATAATTGAGGTAATTTTGATAATTGCTCAGTGGTAGGATTCATTTATAAAATAAAAAAAGGAAATAAAAAAGACAAAAATCAGCAGCAAATGTTACATCTAGTTAAAAGGCAGAGGTAATATGAACACACATACCAGCAGCAGTTGCACCTGTGCAATATTTGGTTGGATGGAAACTAAAGATCTGTGGCGCCAGCTGCACATTTTAAGTCACACGCTTCTTCTTTTCTTTTTTTTTTTTTGAACTTGTATGAGAAGAGCTGGGTTATGTATTGTGGATGTAAAAATGCACGTTTAAGCCTAAAACCAAATGATTTGCTGTATGAAAGCAAACTAGCAGCCTCCTCCTCCTCCTATAGCCAAGCTTCTCCTCCGGGTTCATCTCTCTGATCTACAGTATTTTTAAGCTTCTGTTCCGATTGTGTATTTTATTTTTTATCCTCATTTAGTTGATGAATAAATCTCGGCTGAGTCTCTTATAGCGGGATCTTTGAGACGGAGCTCTATATTCTTAACAGGATAGTTGGGGAATGAAATCTTTACGTCTGTTCTGTATTTATTGTAATATTCACCTGAACACACTATCCGAAATATAGATTCATTTGATGTTTAAATGCAATGGCATTTATAGCATACTGTATGTTTATAAATAAAATGTTAATAAATTAAACTGGACCTTTGTCTTTTATTTTTCCAATAATTTAATGTAAAAATATAATGCCCGAGGTAAAAGGTTTAAACTAACGGAAGAAACGAGCTGAATAAAGACTGTAGATATTCCATACTGCAGACCGAACGCGGCTTCTGCAACAAACAGATGCGGATCAGAGGAAACAGTAAGTTTGGTCTTCTGGGACACCGTTGTCTCCACCTCAAATAGTGTTTAGTGCAGCGGGGACCACGTGGTTTGTTTATTTCTTATTTGGTTTCATTATTTATAGCATAGCAAAAACATTAGATTATAGAGTTGTGGACAAAAACTTTGCAATCAGACGACACATAAGACAATCGGCTACTATACGCAGATTAATATGAATTAAGAATAAAATCCATTAACAGAGTGTAAACAGATTCTTCGCATGGTGGTGTGGACTATTTAGGTTAAAGTCACATCAGACTTGGTATAATTGACTGGTTGTGGTTAAGGCCAGTGTTAGGTTCAGGTCCAGGCACCTGAGCGGGTGTTGACATTGGATTCTGTGATCTGATTAGGAATTTCAGTTGTGTTGCCAAAAAGATGCATCCATAATCTTTTCACAGGGTCACAAGTTCTGGTAGCTGTTCATCCAAAACCGACCTGCGTTTTTGGCGTCACAGGTTTTGGTGAAACTGCTGCTAATGTTCCAATGTTGAGCTTTAGGGTTATTTTCTTTGAATATTATTTTAAAATAATTTCTTAATGTTGTAACACAGTGCCATTTGTTTCACATTTAGGTGAAATGGTTTTAAATCTTCTCCAGTATAGAGGCGTTTTCTTTGCATCACTGGAGCGGTTTTTTTAAATCTCGGATTTCAGACCCGCTCTTGATTGTAGACTTCTGCATTGAAATTATTGTAATCTAAAGCCAAATGTTCCATATTTAGGAAAAATAAATAAATCCTGAAGACTGAATGAATTGTGAAGTGCGGTGCTGTCCGTGGTGCTGAAATCTGCGGCCTCCTCAAACGACCATGAGAGAGAACCTTAGCATTTAATACTGAGCAACCGCAGAGGAGCTTGTTTTTGTTTGGTATGATTAAAGGATGAGTAACTTCCAACATAAGTAATAACGAATCATTTCCTTTTTTGTCCAAAGAAAACATGACAAAGCAACTTGGACTATTATTTTTTTTATCATCAACAACCATTTCAATGGTACACCTGGAAAACTATGTGCACATGTAGAAATATTTCCTTCTTAAATATAAGCATTCATTACCTACATATAAATAACTTTCAGATCCCGGACAAAACATGTTACATAATGCTCACAAAATGGAAGAGAAATCATTGTAAAATCAGACAAAGAGACGACATGCAAATTATATAGAAATAAATACAATGTTTGCATCCATTCCCTTTTTTTTTTTTACCCAAAATAAATTCTTCCGAGGGAATTTTGTAAAACATCAAAAAGACTTGTATGATCGATCTACGAGGGAGTATGGCCTATGGTTCAACTATAGGAGACAATAATACGTATTAACACTATACAATTTGAGCCACAAAAACACTGCCGTAGAAAGACACACAAAACATACAGATTTCCTGTCGGAGGTGAACATTGCAGTAGTTTGTGCCTTATTTTTCTCTCGAGGAAATAATTGTGTTTATATCGATAATTTAAAGAAACTAAACTCTCAGCAGCCCTGGAAACAACAAACACAGCTGTAAGAGCAGCGGTGTGTGTCTACAGAGAAACAGAAAAGCAAAAAGCGTCAGCGCGCTCCGTGGAGATTCGTGGTGTCAGAGAGTGGGTCTGTGAGAGAGAGAGCATCCTCAGTCACGGATGTTAAACGTCTCTCTACCAAACAAAGCAGCTGTTGAACTCTGACACGTAAATGGGACCTAACGAGGCTCCTCCGCTCACTGATGGCACGACGCGTTCCCAGTGCGCAGGCGTCTGTGTTTGCTCATAAATTTGGCCAAAGAAAAATGTTCATCTTAACAAGTCCCTTCATCCAGAGTTCAGTCTTAAATGTGTCGAGCTTTTTTTTTTTTTTTTTCTTAAAACAAGAGGAGCTTTGCTTTGGGATGAGATTCTTGTTCTGAATGTATGCGTGGATAATCTCAGCAGAAGGGTTGTTATTAGTACAGTAATTCAGTCTTCAGACATGACTGGAAACATTTCACCCAACTTGCACTTGTTTTAAGAAAAAAAAAACCGTTGTTATTAAAAGACAATACGACTTGTCAAGATGGGTATTTTACAGCAAAAGTGTCACAAGAAACGGCGCAAGGCATAAAAATAAAATAAGAGAGTTGTCATCTTCTTTTTAACTGCTTTTTATTGTCCTTAAGTCTGTCTCGGGCAATTGCTTTTCAGTCTCCGGAGGGTGAGGACACTGTTTTTCTCCTCCCGCTGTGAAGCTGCATTAGAACATGCTGGTCTTTACTAATGTAGCTTTGGCTCCGTTCTGTCTTTGCAAAGACGACAGTACGCTGGCGAACGGCCCGCCCAATGAGTCCGGGATAGAGGTGATGGTCCCCGGGGCGGTGGCCCAGCCTTGGCTCGGTGCTGTCACCCCCATACCGGTGGACACGGAGGTCTTGACTTGGTCCACCACCTGTCCGTTCCCGGTGGTGTTGACCTGGCCTCCGGTGGGGCTCGGTCCGCCGCAGTTTGAGGTGGGCACGGGATTCGGGCCCGGTCCTCCTGTGCTGTCGGGGTCGGTAGATTTGTTGTCTTTGCTGTCTTCGTCTCTCGGGTCGGACTTCTTTCCGGAATTGGACTTAGCAGCCGCTGCGGCCGCTGCAGCTGCCCGCTCTTGCTTGCGGAACTTGGCACGCCGGTTTTGGAACCACACCTGAAATAAACCGAGTGCAAAAGTTAAACCAACATGAATGTTTGGTTTGTGCCAAAAACATCAATCACTGATCATCTTAAACTGGTATTATCTCACACACACAAGGCTCTTTAGCACCTTTGAGGTGAATTAACTCTAAATAATTATGCTTATGAATGCGTTTTTGGGTTTACATGCGTAAAAGTGTCCCTAATGACAAACACCGTGTCTTTATTTTACGCATTAATGCATAAGAGTGTGTTAGATGGAGTCAGAGGACAGTAGTTCGTCATGTCAGAGCAGTGCAGCTTTTATTTTACTAATATCTATTTAAAAAAATGAGTGATTAGACTCATCATAAATCCACCTGTGCGTTATTGTGTGTAATCGTGCGTAAAGGGAGCAGGTTGGTGTGTGTTGGGGAGCTGCTGGCTGTGCTGTGTACCTGCACTCTGGCTTCAGTCAGATCGATTTTGAGTGCCAGCTCCTCTCTGGTGTAGATATCCGGGTAGTGCGTTTCAGCGAAAACCCGCTCCAGCTCCTTCAGCTGGGCGCTGGTGAACGTGGTGCGGATGCGCCTCTGCTTTCGCTTCTCGTTCAGTCCGCCGTGGTCCGTGAAGAGTTTGTAGGGAACTGTAAACGAAATAAAAATGTCACCGTCAGACGTGCAGGGGTCTTATCTGTGCAGATGTAAGTGTGTGTGATTGCGGTGCTGTCAAATGAAAGTAAACTCAAATTCGATATTTTGTATAAAATCCGGTTAAGGATGCTGCGCTAAAGCTTCCAATTGTATTATGCCTTTGATTACCTGTGAATTACTTCTGAATTGATAACGCTGCTGACCTGTGATGCGGTTAATTGTAATGTTAAACTAATTGTTGCTCCTCAGATTGAGGCTCAAGTTTGAAAACTTGTCATAATGTTCCCATCCGCCCCGCTCGTTGCTACTGTAACTCCAATTCGGTGTCAATAATGAGCTTTAGTCTTTGGTTATCTAATTATTTTCGAAGCTTTATGTCTCATCGCAAAGTAAATAAATTATGCCTATCATTTTGGCAGCTTAAGATAATTCTGTTGGCGGTTTTGGGTGTGACTGGGATAGTATAACCCCGTAACCGAATTACCGCTTGCCTGCAATCGCTTCTAACGTGATAAATTCTTTCATTTGTGTAAGCAAATTTCGTTTGGTAAATACTAAACACATTTCCATTTTCAAATGCAATCAAGGCGTCCTATAATACGCCGGGTTGAGGCTCCGGATCCGCTGCTTACCTGCGGCGTACGGGCTGCTCTGGTGGTCCCGCAGGGTCCCCAGGCTGCAGGACCCCGGCGTGAGGGACGGGCAGCCGGAGGTGGCCCCGAAAGTGGTCCTGATGGGATTGTACTGAAACCCACTGGCTTGACTGCACGAACTGAAGTCCGCATAGGCCGATGCCAAGCTCGAAGTGTCCATCCCGGCCATACATGACTCGTAGGCAGAGGAATTTAGGTAAGAATACTCCATTTTATACATTTGAGAAGGCTCGGTGGAGATAGAAAGCTGCACTTCCCGGGAAAAAAGGTCAAAACAACAAAAACTACCCCCAAAAAATTGGGTTAGAAAGTAAAAAAAAAAATAATAAAAACAAAAATGAGGAGGACGCGCGGTCTGAGTTTGGGGGGAAAGATGACTTGTTTGGTTTGAACTGGTTGGAAGGAGGCTGGACGGTGGGTAGATGTTCACTGCTCAGCGCCTGCTCCAAAACTGGCCTCCTTTATAGGAACCTAGCCCTGTTTTATGAAAAGCCCCCTAAGAGCCGCCTAGCCCGAGGTCTCTAGAGCATATAGTCCTCATAATAAACTTGGCTCTTTCCGCTTGGACAATAGCAAAGCGTTTGGTCTTATTGCTAGCGCTTTTTTACATGACAATAACTCATCAGTCTATTGGGCTGGCACTGGGGGCCCGGGCTGTCCAACCTCCCTATCATTGATCCCCTGCATCTCTAATTAGAATTTAATACCACGCCATTACGCACCCCTCCACCGCCCCCCTCCACCCCTCTACCCATCCACCCCACTCCTCTCCAACCACCATCTTGCCCTTTAATTCAATCACACCACTTGGAAATAATGAAAGTTGGGTGACGATTCTCCCTGATCCAATTTTCTCCAAGCTTTTAAGCCTTTTAAGCGACCGTATACCTTGGGCAGGATTTCACATAGTATTCCCCCTCTGCTTCCTCTTTCTGCCCGTCTGCTCCGACTGTTTTCACTCTGGTTTCCTGCACTGGAGCTGCACCACATGTACGTTTATATCAGGTGTGACGGGCTGTTTTTGTGGTGTAGGTATCTTTTTGAGGTTTAAAATCTGATTTTTTTTTTTTTTTACCAATAGAAATCTGCAACTGAGGTGATATCGCCTGTTTGAAAAGCAGCTGCCTTTGATAGTGTTTCTGCACCACGCATGGCCCGAAATGATTCTGCTTTGTTTCAGGACACTGCTTGCAGGAAAACCGCTGAAACAAGCAAATGTGCGCTGAAGCAAATGATCTCACCTCACTGACTGACTTTCCCACATTTTCTGAAAATAAATTAATAAAGACAAATATTAATATAAAAAGTCTTGTTCGGGGGATTTCTTTTTCCCACACTGCATGCACAGCAATCGCATTCGTAACACCAGTTCCACAGACTGAACCGATAACCCCATTTGATTAGATTTTCTTCATCTCTTTGATCTCGTTTTATTTCGCATTACGCTGCACGGGTTGTGCCATTTTCTATTGTTTTTAATCAGTAATTTAGACTTTTAAATCAGGTCTCTGCCATTTCTGTATAGCAGCTAAAATTGAAGTGAATAAATGAAAGCTAGAAATCGTCTCAATGGATTAAAACCCAACATATTACCGTAATAAACGGATTTACCAGCTTCGATTTAATAATGCCCTTTTTGCCAAATAAACAAGGTTGGTCCGATTCCTCTCCTGCACTGCTGTAGCATAATCTCTGCTAAACTTCCGGGTGTGTTTTTATGATTCAAATGAGTTTGTAATTCTCTTTATTACTTTCATTATTCCGTTTATTTGGCAAATAACATCTTTCTAATGAAAGTAACGAACTGGCGAGGCAGTCATCGGACCTCTTAGGCTCCCAATATTGGCTGAGTGGTTAATTTGGTTTGTGTAATAAGGTGAACCGTTTTGTATGGCGCTTACACACTCGGTGTGTTTCTTTCTTTTTTTTTTTTTTTTCATTGGATCGAGTTCAAGTCCTCGTTTGAAGCTGCGGGTTTTTTTTTTCTTTTCGACTTATCCAAACACAAAAAGGCGCAACAGGAATTGTGGTGCATCAATTAAATTTGGCAGATGAGTGTCTGATGTTTGAATTTGTTCACCACTGGTCGTGTTTCAGTGATTGATCTGTGACACATCGTTGTACTGTTCCTAGAATGATCCTGTTGGGACTGAGTGTATCACTGATGCTCAATAGTGAGTTTATCAGTATTTTTTTATCAGACGTGGTTGCAGCTTCATTTTGGAAACTACACATTATAAACATTTGACTCACAACCTATTACATGTTATTATAGGGTTATTAGATCTTGGCTTTGACTTTTTTCTTCTAATTTGATTTTAATGCTCCACAGTATTGATCTTATTTTTCACCATAATTAAGGAAGGCTGGGAAAATATTAGAGAAATATTTATTTGTTGAAAGCCGGCGGTATTAAAAAAAGAATAGGCCTTCTAAACCACATACAGGTCATTGTCTGAGGTCACAGGTCTGAAGTGATTTTTTTTAATCTGTTCTTTCGAAAAGGTGAAGTAATTCCAGTGCAAATCATCATTTTAGGTCAGGTTAGATCTGGATTTACAAATACATTTTTAGATTCACAGGAACGACCTGCCTTCTTTCCATACTTGTACCAGATTAACACACACACACACACACACACACACACACACACACACACATATATATATATATATATATATAAAGCTGCCGTTTGATGAAATATTACTAACTTGTTTTTAAAATAAAAGAAAAAAGAAAAGACTGATATTTTAACAATATGGCAAAAAAAGGCTTTTACAAATCCAACATTTGGTCCGTGTAGGCTTCGGGCCGCAAGGTGCAGCTCCCATATTATCTCCTAAAATAGGCCCGCTCGCATTTGCCATCAATTATTTTTCCTCCACAATTGCTGACGTGTTGCAGTTTGTTTCTCCCTTTTCTTCCGTGTGTACATTGTCTTTTCAGAGATCAACGAGCGCAGGAAAAAAAAGTTAATTCTTTCTTGACACAACCCGGTCCCTATTATGTAAATGTTTTCTTTTTTTATTTTCTCCTTTTCTACACACGAGCTGGGACCCAAAAGTTGTACCAAATGGTTAATTTGATTATTGAAACCAAAGAGCCAAATGGTTCACCGTCCTCCCTCCACGCGTCTGGCAGCGAGAAAAGAAGCCATCTCTGGGAATTAATCTAATAACGCTCAAAGAAACGAGAAGTCTTTTCTGATATTTCGCCGAGGCAAATACAATTAGAGCTTTTAGCCATCGGTTTCTTTCACTGAAGCCGCTCTTTATTCCTGCGGTCTATAGTCCCTCCACCATAGTCCACCAGCTATTGAAACGCCTCCTCTTTTATAGTTTCAACATCTTTTAATTCTTTCAGCTGGTTCGGGTGGGATGAGAAGCCACAGTTTGATATTTTGATATGAGAATATTAAATCTGAAAGGCGGGACTCTGCAGTTTAAATTGATTTAACGTTTTTTTTTTTTTTTTTTTTTTACGCTTTTGCAAGATGCAAAACCTGCAGACAGTTTATGTCCTGCACAGACAGACAGGAGACTGGTGGCTGCAGGTTTCTCTTTATATTAAGCCCCGTTTCCAAACAGCGCCAGTGCGCGCAAACAGTGATTTACAGTAACATAATGATCCTTTAATACAAGTAAAGCGGTAGTTAATTCGTAATTATGTGGCAAATAAAGGGCTTCGACCATATGCCTTCACTTAAATAAATCAGGAAAATGCGATGTGTGCGAGACCCTAAATTCCCCTGGCAAGTGCCGGACAAAAGCCGGGATATGGGAGGAACTCCTCTCCATTTAGTGCGCACTATCGTTGCTCAGCAATATAGGAATGCGGGTCGACAGGAGGGACAAAAAGAGGAACAAAATGCCATTGTCTCTGGATGGATTGGATGGATCCACTCCCCCAGAAAAGGCAAAGACACAGAGCAGGATAAAGAGAGGGAGCGCGATGGGAGGGTCCCGCTGTCACATTTCACCTACAATGTCTCACTCCTCCGCCCGAGGAAATCCTACGCTTATCAAAACGGTTATTAATAAGGCCGCGTGTTGCAGGGGAGGGGCTCGAGAGCGAATAAAAAATTCATTTTGGGGATGCTCTCGTGACAATTTAGTCTGATGTCTCAATTTGACAGGAAAGATAGAGGCGAGGGTCGCGCTGTCACCTGCAAAATGCGTGAAAAGCTCCGTGAAAACGACGGGTGACTTTACTGTTGCAGATCCACAGTGATAGTTCAATTATAATCCAAAACCATGATAATATTCTGTAATAAATAATAATACGTTTTCATATTGTATTTTATCTCTAAGCCGACTTGATTTTGAGGTCTGAAACTGCACACGAGGAAACATAACTCGAGCGAGAGCTGAGTTAAAAAGTGTTCCAGGCCGGTGCGTAAAAAGCGCATCGCGTTTCCAAGCGCACAGATGGAAAGTGACATCTGGAGAAGAGGCCAAATTCAATTTGAAGCTGGTGTCTTCTCTCGGTGTCTGCAGGAGGAAAAGAAAACATGCAGCACAAAAGACTTCAGTGTCTCAGGCTCGTGTTGTTGTTATTGTTATTAGACGTTTTGTGACGTATTTTCACCTGATGCGTCTTTATTCTGTCTTTAGCACAAAACCGAGGGCGTTGTGCGCCTCGGAGATGGTGAGACAGGTATATAGAGGAGGATAAACCTGCCTTGTGTCATTTTTATCAAGGAAATAGATTTTATGCGTCTTTATAGCTTATTATTAATTCTAAAATGACCATACTTGGGGTCAAACATCGCACTGATATGAAAATAAAGCGAAGAAGAAAGCACATTTATAATCCTTCTCACTATTTTATTTAGCCTGTATGGAAACAAAATGATTAATTTAGAGATTCTACGCGAGGATAGAGGTAAATATTGTATTCCCATCTACTACAGGCTCTTCTGTGAGTGATATTTCCCTCTAATGTCCCATTAACTGGTCTCTTTGTTTTCCAGATGCTGCAGCCAGCTCATGCAGAGCACCAGCTCGTCTCTCCTGGCCTCTCCGGCCCCTCTGAGCCTTTATCTGTGCTTCCCAAGTGACCAAGAGAGCAGCCAGTGGATTAACATAAAAATCTTATTCCGGGGGATAAGATTAGGAAACATATTACCCTCAAACGCGGCCTTGGCACGGGCGAGAGCCAGGAAAGGAATCAATTACTAAATTACTCCAACCTCTAAGTCGACATTAACGCAGAGAAATGCCATCGACCGGTTCTGAAATAAGATTTCGCAAAGATGTGATCATTAAATCTCTTGCCAGTGTTCAAGAATTTGATTCATAAAATCGTCTGAAATGAGATGGAATTAAATTCTTATCGGGGCTCTTGTCATCGTTTCATCCCGCGCTGTTTAACGTTGGTCAATGGCCTTCATGAGATTTTCCCTGTAAATAAACTTGGTAATTGAATCCGCCTCTCCACGACACATTGTTTGGTTGTTATTAATTTATTGCAGCCATGCAGGCGGACGGATGGCCTGAGTCTGGCCTGGATGCTGCTGCTGCATCTTCGCTCCAAATGTTTCAACCCACAGACACCAAACTGTGTTTTTAGACGCAGTTAAACTGCAACATGCTTTGGATGGGGGGGCTATCTTA